GGAGTTTGGTTGGTTGATTTGGTTTGGCTTGGTTGTGCTGTGCTTGTTGCACACATGGGAAAAAAAAACGTTGGTCAATAACATGGACATGCAAGCCGACTCAAGCCACACACTTAAAAAAAATTGTTTCGAATTTATGCCCCATTCCAAAATATGCAGAACACATTACCTGTCCTAGTATCCGTTTACGCATTTTAAGGCGGCAGGCGCATTGAATAAACGATTTGAAATGCTAATTTTATTGCCAGTGTAAAATAGCAGCACCCAAAGTCCTGAAGCCCGAATTGGCTTAGTCAGCATCATGTACTGATGTGGAATGAAGTTGAAGTCGAAGCCATATCCCTGGCAGAGTCGAAAAGTCAATGAAAAATGACAAAGGCTCAGCTCGAAATGGTGATGGATGTGAGTGAGGAGGGGCGCGGTGGCTACCCCCATTTCCTCTGTTGGACTTCAATATATTCTTTTTTTTTTCTCTCTTCGCAATGGCTGCCATTTCAAACACTCGCCTACGCACACTAAGACAGCGAAGCGCATGCAAATGGCGGCGACAAACATAAATTCTAGCCAAACCAACGCAAACCAAAAAAGCCTTGAGAGCGAAGAAACATGAGATGTTCGCCTGATTTGCTTAGCTATTCAGAAAAGCCATTTACCGTTATGTCAACCCCCATATGCCACGCCCACGATATATGCCGCCCCCGCAGGCAGCGCTGCATCGGAATCGAAATCGGAATCAGCAGCAGCAGCATCTGCATCAACGCATCAATGCATCAATGCATTCCGGAAGTCGAGTGTTCTTTTCTCTGATTGCCTTTGGGCATTCCTTTGGGGCGCTGATGACGTGTGACATTGAACGTTGCTGGCATTTTTCATGATGAATTCAGTCCTGCAATTTGCCATCTCAATTGGCCATTCAAAGGAAATTTATGGAGATAAGGAATTGATTTACGGAAGAGCACAGCTTAGCAGTGCTTATGAGAAAGTCGCACAAAATATGTTAAGTGGGCTTACATTAGTTATTTAATACCTATTCCAGTAAGCGTAATTTTTCTATATTTCAAGAATACCACTCACTATAAAGAATGCTTTTTTTACTCGAAAACTAGCCCTTCTTAAAAAAAAAATAACAAATGAATTAAATTCAAATGCAAAACATAGCATGCTAAATAAATAACAATTTCTATATGCAAATGTGAATACTTTGTACATATATATGTATAAAGTGTTCAAAGTAGTCTTTAAATTGTTGAAAAATTTCCACGAAGGTGGTGATTGAAGTCGAGTGTCAGGAGAGTTTTCATTATTCAAGTGAATTGCCAATTTTGCACGACACTGATTTTTTGCTGTAACACAAAACGAATCATTTTTCTTGGAATGCCTGTCTTTTTAATTTACATAATTCCCAAAATTTACGTGTCACCTTGAAGTTTGATGTACGAAAAGATGAAAATACCAAGAAAACAAGCTCCCACAATCCAATCAATCATTCAAGCGGCATTAAATGCAGAAGAGCGGGTGTTATGTTTGTCTAGCCAAGGTCGTCCAACATTGCGTATGAGTATGAGTAATTTACGGCTTCTTTTAGGTACTTTCCTTTTGAGTCTAGACATATACTTGTTCGGAAATCTTGTCCTATTCTGTTGATAACCGATACCTTTTGTGGGCCAGACCACAAAACGCCGACTGAAATGATGCCTACACCAGTTTTCCTCTTTCGTCTTGCCTTTGCAGAGGTTCGAATCTATTTTATGACTGTTACCTTCTTTTGTGACCTATGTACCCTCTTCTCAGAGGTTTTGGCGTTGTCTTCTCGACCACAATGCTGTTATTTATGCGCATGTGGCTTTTGTTTCGTGAAGAGGGTCCTGCCGGCGGCTTTTATTTTCCTGCTGGTTGTCCTTGTGGCTTTGGCTTTTCCGATGGATGGCAACGTGGCGGATGATTGATTTGCTTGCTGGTTTTCGGCTGGTTAATGAGCGAATATTAAATGAATTTAAGCTTGTTTTGGGCAAGTAAATGGTGTATGTGTAGTGTTTGTCTGGTGTTTTGTAATTTAATTAACATTTTAGGAAATTTAAAACCATAGCTTATTGTTTTGGATACTATTCGTTTCTGCTATATATATTTTAATTTGAATTTTCTGCATAAATATGTGGAATGTTGAAAATTTATACTTAAATGCATGCAGCTTCAATTCATTTGATGTTCAAACGATATTTGGCACACGTCTGTGTAAACCACGAATTATTTTGGGGCTTAATGGCATTACCACAAACCGCAGGAATTTCAAACCCATGGTCTGCCATCAAATGGTTACCATGCATAGTGTTGTTTTGCCTGATTTGCCTAGTTATCGTTAGCTGACAAGCTCGTAAATTTGCTTCCTGCATTTATCCCTTTATTATATTTGGTTTCATGCATGTTGTGTTTCGTTCAGATTGTCTGCACTTATTTATATTTTTACAATTGTTAGCAATAGATTATCTAGTTTTTTGCCTGGAGTGGTTTTTACCATTTGACTGTATATTTAAAACACTAACTTGTTAAATTTCCGCACGAAATTCGTTGCACTTGTGTTTGCCTCATTATCGCCAGCGTTTCATCCCACTAAATGTAAACTGTAAACGTTTTCCTAGAGGAACTCCCCACATATTCCCCTTTATATTTGCCAACTGCGCTTAAGCTGCATAATAATAAACTGCAAAGCAGCGGCAACAACGAGAATTGCTAAATGTGCAACTGCAGCAAGGATGGCAAGAAGAAGAAGAACAACAACAGGGCCAGGATAATACGAGCCAAAGCAGTGGAAATCCTGGCGTAATCGTTGCGTTCACTGCTGGCAGGCAACAACAACTGCAACAACTGGAACAACTGCAACACTAACACACTATGCCGTGTGGAAAATATTTATGAGCTCGGTTTTCACGCCAAATGCGTTCTTTAAAATGCTCCACTCCACTGCCAACTCTCCACTCTCCACTCTCCGCTCCACACACACAGAGCACACACGCACACAGCCATGGCTTTGCCATTTCCCTTTGCTTTCACCTCGCTTTGGCATTTTCCGCGACATTTTCACAAGCGCTTGCATTGCTTGTTGCACTCTGCGCTAGTGTGTGTGTGTTCCTATGTGTGTTAAGCAATGCGCTACAGTGTTTACGTGTTGGTGAGCGTTGCAAGTCGACAAGCGATAGCAACAACAGCAATCTGCCACAGTTGCAACAGCAGCAATTTCAACACCCTTTAACCCACTTTTCTCTCGCCTACTGTTACTACAACTATTATACAAATATTTTGTTGGAGGATAACGTTTAGAACTAATTAAACTGTCTTTTTCTAAATTTAAAAAAATCTACTTTAATTAAAATTAAATATCAAAGTTCAAAAAAAATGCGCACTGTTGCGTGTTCATTTATTTCTATCTATTAATTCTTATTTTGAGAAACTTACAGCTGAGCGGTGGCACATTTCCCATTCTTAAGTAGCGTATTCGGAGTTTTCCAAGCACGAATCCCTTAACCTATCACCACCATCGAGCCTTTCCACCTGCCTTTCCAGACCGGGTCCAACCCATTATGGCGACTGTCCCCTTTATATGCTAATTTGGTTCGGCGCATTTTATGAGTACATATGTACTGGCGCATATATCCAGTGGCATATATAGTGGCCATATAGTACGTCCTGCGAGCAGGAGGCGCTGTCAGTTGGGAGGAAGGGAAGAATGCAGGTGCAGCAACTTTGCTGATTTTGCTGGCAACCTGCGATGTTGCTGATGGTGCACATTCACGTCGTTTGAAGTTGCCTTTTGCCGTTGTCATAATTAAAACGCGCTGCATAATTGCCAAACAAAGGTTGTGTCCTGTTCAGGGAAAAGTCCTGTTCACAATGCCACCGAAGTTGGCCACTCATTTGCCTCAGTTTTAATGATTTTAGCTGCATATTTGCAGAGTGCAACCCCAAACTTAAAATTATACCACTTTGGCAAATGCGAAATATCAAATACAGCACGCAAACTAAGTACTGATTATAGGCAATACATATTCATACTGATGCAGGTTTTGTGCTTTTCTCCGAAAGATATTAATTTATTTCGAAAATACCCCTATGCTAAACCTAACCAATATTTGATACCATTCATTTCGTTTCTTAACTAGAAGTTTTGCGCAATTTGGTCATCTGTATGCAAGCCCACTGCTCTCACGCAAAACGCAAATAGTATCTGCATATCTATGTGTTTATTTAAAATTTTACGCTCCTTTTGCTGCACTTAGATCGACGAACAAAAAAAGAAAACACAACAAAAAATGTGAGGCAAATTCGAAAAGTTTCGATAAGGTTATGCTGGTTTTTCGGGTGTTTTTGGGTGATTTTTGGGTGATTCCCGTATTCGGTAGTCATAAAGTGTTCGACCGAAGTGCACCCACAGCAAGGTGGCCTAACAACCCACACACACATGCAGAAATACACACCCACACACACACACACAGTCGCACTCACACGTAGTTGTGGTTTCAATAATCAATGAGTTGATTTTATGAAATTTTACCCCCACACCTCGAATTCCAGGATGTGACACGCCCATCCTTGCACACCACTTCATTTTGTGGGTCGCACTTGGACACACGAACATGCACCGCATGTGTGTGTGCAATTTTATTAACGAGAATTTTGGAATTTCTGCACAAATATCACATTCAAGCCGACAGGAGGGTGAAAGGTTAAAAGGAAAACAAAACATAGACCAGAGGCTTTTTGTGGTCCTGGTCACAGGCTGCGTGTTGATTGCTCGGCACCCAAAAAAGGCCAAATGAATTTTAATTAATTTTTTAATTAATTCTCCGAAACCGCCAGATGGCCATGTCCCTTTTACTCAACCGATGGCAGTGATAAAACGAGAACCGCACAAATTCTATCTGCGGCCAAGATTACCCCTTTAATTGTTGACCACAACTTGCGATTGGACCATTTCTTATGCCATATCCTTGCTTGTATCTTTGCAGAAATACGGTTTTTAATTTAAGCATACACGATCTCGTCGAGCAGCAGCGATTGGTCTGGACATCGCCGGAGGATGATACCAAAATGTGTCTCGTCAAGGGCAAGGATGAGGTGAGTGAAAAGTTGCCATCAATCAAGAGATTTTGTCAAGCATGGAAATTCATTAAGTTACATCCATCAAAACAAACTGCAAACTTTAAGATTTGTAACTTTACGAAACTTCTAACGGATTTAGAATTTAGAAATTGCAATAAATTAATCGTGGGCACCTGAAATAACAATTTCGTGCACTCGCTGCAGTTCATTTGCAGCTTTTTCCGTGCTGTTCGTTAACTTGGCAGTACTTTGGCCAAATGGCCTTGCAATTTCCATTTCCATTCCTATTTCCATTTCGATTTCAACTTTGGCTGTTGCTTCCGTTGTCATAGAAATGCAAAAACAAGGCAATAAAGTGTTCCTCTGTCCTTCTCGCCATCTATCTTAACTTTTTTCGCGCTAAAAACATGGAAAACTATGAGGAAGAAGTGCGCCATACAAGAAGAAATTGATTTATGCAACTTTTTCTGTTGTTGCTTCGTGCTTGTGCTTTCCTTCTCTGTGGCTAAGAAATCAAGGAAATTTATTGGAAACTCTTCACCACTGCAGTTGACCTATTAAGAAAATGCCAGTTAAGCAGTGGCAACGGGCTAAATTGAGTCCAAAGGGAACGGGCAAATCAAAGCCCGAGTGCAAACTTTTGCCTAATGGAAATGGCAAATATTTTGGCTTTCAAATTGTCTTTGTTGCTGCCTTTTTGTTTCGCCTTCCGTTTCCGGTCAACTAGGCCAAATACTGCGTCTCACTCACTCCTGTGAAGCACTGCATTGTAGTCGTCTTAAATTATTTAAATGGCTTAAAAGCTTTTTCATATTGAGTTATTGATAAAATATTACATCAAAAAGGCTTATAATGATATCTGTAAGCTTTCTATGTACATACGATGGGTTTTTGGCATATATATTTCTTATATACTACACATCGGAGTTATATTAAGTCAAGGCACTGTGTTTCCTTTGCCATTTCTGTGCATGCCCAAGTGCACTTCAAGTTTGGCTTTTTGCTCACGTAATTAGCCAACACTTGTTGGCTGGTCGTGCCGGCAATTGCAGGGCCAACAAAAATAGCAGTGGCAACAAAAATACGGCAAGCCAGAGCATTAGCAGGTGTAATTTGTTGAACTCAATTTGCTTGCCGGCTCCACCTGAGTGGGGTCACTTTACTCGTATATGTCTGTGCCGGGTGGGTCGCGTTATTTATGGCATCACGGGGTGGAAGGAGCTAGGGAGCAAAGTTTCTTAGGACTTCTGGCCATGGCGTGCTGCGTTGCCATTTTGTAGAGCTGGTTTTTGCCGCTGAAAATAAATTGCAATTGTTTAGCTGGCCAGAAGAAATGAAACGAAAAGTTCAAAATTTACAATTTTAATTAACCGACATTTCGGCCACCCATTTGGATGCGAAAATGTCGAGTTAATCAAGCTGATAATCAGCCAAAGCCATACTCATATATGTATATAAAGTAATTACGCTGTGAAAAGGTAGCCAAGCGGCAAAATAAGTTGTGTTAGAGTTACGTGAGCTGCTTGCTGTCATTTGTTGCTGCAAATTGTTTAATTATTCGATTTTTTCACATTAAATTCCATAAAGTGTATAGCTGTAGTCCATTGCATGTATGATTTATAAAATATTCAAAAGTGGCCAACGATGTAAAGTTGACCAACATAAGCGACAAATATTTTTTATGTAACTTGCTGTGTGCGTTCAACATAAGTAAAGCAAGTAAATCACAGAACATTTTTTTCACATTTTCGCAATACGTAATTAAAGCCAATTATGTTAAATCAAAGTAGGAATGCAATAAACAATTATGGAGTAATTTTCAATATTAATTCACGAACCACATAGCAGCGAGCAATTATGCAGTGCTTTTTCTCGAACTTAAGGGAGTGGTTGTGGAACACCGTACGGTTGTTATCCTTATTAAGTTCAACTATGACCTTAATCATCGAACAGACCACAGAGCATCACCCACGTGCCGATTTGGGCTTCTCTGGTCTTCCAGTCCCACATTCGATATTCGATTTGGTTTGCAAATGGCTTTTCCCAGAATCTGCCCTGCCCAGAAATCCAGAACTGAGTCTGAAAGTGGGACTGCAGTCGCCCATTGTTCTGTTGGAAAATGCTGTTGAATTCATGCGGGTCCTACCAACTCTTTGGCCCTCTTTGTCTGCCGGGGTCCAGGCCAAAGTGTTCTGAATACCTTTGGGCACATCCCCATCTGCATACGGCTCTATTAGGCAACTTGTTCTGGCTTCCATTCAAATCAGCATTACCAGGCGATCTTCAAGCTAATTAGGTACTTTGCTCTCGCCTAAATTACTAATTTGTATAAGATTTAATGAAATAGACACACAAACTGTACAAGATAAAACATAGCTCGACAAAGCCGGGGGAAAATCAAACTTTTGCGGCGCAAAAAGTTTCATTGTTCATTATTGTGCGTTGTCAATGGAGTGAAAAGTTCGAAAGAAAAAACAGGAAAATATTTTGACGGATACCAAAACGCTTGAGGGCAGGCAAAAATTTCTTAAATGATGACAAAACACAACAAAATGAGCCAAATCAGTCCACGAGTAATGAGCCTGAAAAAACTTGTAACTACATAATTTTTAATAGCTTTATTTGACTGACAGACTTAGACAGCCAGAAACCACTCCGTGATTTTGCACAGCCACAGATTTATAATTGTAATTAAAATGCCTGCCAAATCAATACTTCCACTTGACAATATGGTTAAAACGAAATATATGCTTTTGTTGACACAAACATGACTATGTGTATGTTTTTGAGGGCGGTTGAGCGACAATTTATGTGCAAAAACTATAATTAAGGATAATTTATTAACCAGCGGCACACAGACAGTGGCTAAGGCCAAATTTCGAAAACAAATTAATAAATATCAGAGTTAATTGCATTCTAAACATTGTTCCATGTCTGCAATGCGTGTTAATTACAAGCACTATAAAGGAAACTACGACTTCACAGCCAACCCAGCACTGCATGTTATTGTTTTGATAAATTATTTAAATTTATGCTCTAGCAGTTCGCCACACACAAAAAGGCCAAAACATGTTAATTACTTTGCGAACAGTTAGCCAAATTAAATGGAAAACGAACAAGATAGCAAGTGCTGGGCAAAAGCGGGTATGGGCATAAATTGAAAGGCTGAGTATTTCTTAGGCATCTCCAATCAACTTATTCAAGCACTTTTAAATTAATTAGGACACTTAGGGATAATTAGCAGTAACATTTTGTGTAAGTGCAATACTTATTGCTGCACACTTTATAAGCCTCTAATTGGCTTAAACATTTGGCAAAATATTTGACAACGACATGAGCCAATACTTTGGTAGAGTAAAATAACCGGCTGTTATAATAATAAATGCAACTAAAAACTGGCCTCATTATTAACGGCAAACCAAATATTTAAATATTTCAGCGCACACAGGAAATGCAAGAGACACATAAAAGGTATACAGTGAAATCAGCTGCCTGGGAGTGTTTCAAATGATTTGTCATGTCAGAGTGCAAACACTTCCGGCCGTAATGGTGACACAGGGTGACGGGGGGCGGGGGACGGGGGGAGTGTGTGGTAGTGGCGCCGGAAATGTCAGGCAACAATTTTCCAGCACTATGGGAAAAGTTTGCTCCACCTCTCCTGCTAAATGGGAGCAAGTTGCGCATTTGCCTTTTAATATTTATTGAGTTGCAGGTGCAGCGCCCCGGCAACATTCATTGTTTGCTCTCGAAGTGCTTTTGCAACGCATCAAATATTACAATTTGCGAAACATTTATGCAAAATAGGTTGAAAGTGGAAAAGCAGAGCATACATGTTCACACTGTGACCCCATTAACTATGTTATTTGGGTCTACATATTATTTCGCCAAATGACCGTTCATGTATCACCGAATGTTTGAACTTTTGCAAATAATATCATTGGATCTTTAGACTTTTAGAAGCCCTTCCACCTAGTTCTTAAATTGCAGTGCCCCCACAGTCGCTTTGCTTAAATTCTTCAACTTGAACGTTTTCAGGAGGCCTGCCAGAACTACATCCGCATCATGGTGGTGCCATCGCCGGGTCGCCTCTTCGTTTGCGGCACCAACTCGTTCCGGCCCATGTGCAACACGTATATCATCAGTGACAGCAACTACACGCTGGAGGCCACGAAGAACGGACAGGCGGTGTGCCCCTACGACCCCCGTCACAACTCCACCTCTGTGCTGGCCGGTAAGTACCCAGTTTACATCAGCACATTGTGCCCCTATGTAATATCAAAAGGGTTACAATAATTAACAAGCAAATCGAAGAGCGATAATGAATCGGTTCGAATAGCAGAAGACATGAGAAAACAACACTGCGTATACGTAATTCGCGTGATGTCCATAAAGAACTCTTTCAGCAATTACTTTTAAAGTTCCCAACTGCATTAAAACCATAACAATATGCGCTGGGAGGAATTTAAATATTTAAATTGCATCACTTTTGAGGTCAAGAAAGGAATTGCAAAAACACGCATACGCCCCGTTGCCCATATCAACCATTTCCAACAAATTCAGTTGCGAAGACTTTTTCTTTGTGCCTTCTTGGTTTTTTCCCCGTTTTGTTATGCCACTCGAATAATTTATTGTTCACAAGCATTTTGTATGCGAATTGTCCATTTTGTTCCGGCTGTTATCGCCATTCGCAATAAGAGTGAAAAATGCAAGGAATGTGACTGTGAGTAGACTCATCGCATTGCCACTCCGCCCAGGCATATAAATCGCTTAAAAATTGTCATTCATCATGCGATGCCTGCGCTACCGCTTTTTTCAGGTCTGACTTCGTGAACGGAGCCGCATGATAAATTTTTAGTATTATTGGTCGGCTGCCGAATGGCAGACAACTGCAAATTATGTGCGAAATACATTTCTCCGCCCACCAAACTGATAAAAGATTTCCAAATTACCTACATACTCGATATTTGATTGAAATTTATGGCCCCTGCAGGTGTGTTAAGTGGGTCGGTCCGCTGAAAAAAAAACTCGTTACAAATTTACAAATTGAATGGTCTTAATATCCATACGATTTGGGGTTCGTTTAAGTTATAAATGCTGAAATACTTATTATTAAACCTGACTTTATGGCCTTTGCAACTGTTCTTATTTCAGAGCATTTCAATTTCAAAGTGTGGCGAGTAAAATAAAGTTACATTTCTCCCTGTGACACTGAATGCGCGCTGCATATAGAATGAACTTTTATTTTCGCCACTCGTGCAACCCAGAAACTCAGCCAATAAACAAGCGCATTTGGAGACTGCAACGGTGGGGGAAATATTTTGGGAACCCCACTGCATACAACACCCACGTTCTAGCGCCTGCAAAGTCATAGTTTTGATAATATTTCCACTTGGCACCCATAAATCGACATTCCTTGCCGCCATGTTGTGAAGTTTTCGTGCAGTGATTTGTTTGCATTTCATTGTCTGCAGCCAGCGAAAACTTTGCCAAGAGCCAGGAACAGTGGGTCGGGCATAGATAATATCGATAAACGTTTATAACTAACTTGAAAGTGTGTGTGTTGTGTGATGGGCTTGGTTGGTCCAGCGGCAGGAGAGGGCACCGAGTGTTGCCACAACTTCCGCCGGATGCAGCTGCCTTCGCTATGTGTTTGGCTATATGGGTGTGTGCTTCTTCCATCCACACTCACTCACTCACACTCACTCACACACACACAGAAGTGTGTTGGCAACTCGCCCACTTTTCCACGCTCGTGACCCCCTCAACACCGCGCCAATGTGGGTCATAAGAGTTTATCATCAACAAGCTGCCACATCCTGGCCAAAAAAGAAGCAGCCAAACCTGAAGCTGTTGTCAGCCGCCATTTTCTTTATTGCTTGCAGCCATTTATACGCCCATTACTTGCCACACTGCCGCCGGGTATATCCAATTGCTGCCCAGATGGAGTACAGAGTTTTATGGAGATCACATCGCGGGTAGAGCAGCACTTTTAGCACTCACGGATAAGCCGATTTTAAATCGTTGTAAAAGTCACTTTTAATTGCACTTAGCCAGAGTTAGGAATTTACCATTAGGTACTAACAAGTCTGATCCGCTTTGCCTTTGCATTTTTTCCGTAGTTTTCCCCTTGGCCTCCCCACTTTGTTCTTATTCCACTTTGATTTCCCTTCATGGAGCTAATATTAAATCGAAATTTTTACATACATACCCCGCAACCGACGAGCTGCGTCTTTAGCCATTTACTGGCTGTCAGTTTGGCAGCGCTCTTCTTGCCAGGATTTAAGGATATGCGACGCGGATTGGGGAACGGTTAGCCGGGCCATGTTGTTTAGATTACAAATTGCCCGGACTGAGGCAGCCCATAAAAAAAACCCCATCATGGTGGTGCACTAAATAACAACAACAATGGCGGCGAGTCTAGAAAAGTTCCGATTCAGAAATGAAAAAATAGAAAAAAAATAAGCACGAGCGCAAAAAAGTCGCCGAAAAACCAGAACAAGCTGAAAAATGTTATCAATTCAGTTTTTATTCGTGACAGGGCGTTGATGTCATGGGCTGACGTGGGCGTGGTCGGTAACTGGCACAAAAGTTTTCCCCCACCTCCGCCGCCCATGACCATTCTAAAGCCCCCGCCCCCGCCCCCGCCCCCTCTAGTCCTCACTTGGCCACAGTTTCTAACGCTTTGCGCAAAAAGTTCGTGGACACATTTTTGTGCCAATTTCGTTGTAAAAATATTGTTGTAACCATGATGAAGTTTTCAATTGCTTTTTCCACCAATATACGACATCTAGCCACCCAGCCCACATCAGTCCAGCCCAACCGCCTTATCCTGTTCGCTTTCCTGGTGTTTCAATATGGCGGAAGGAATATATTTTTGTTCGATTTAAAAAGTGCATGCGAAATAAATTTCAATCGCTGACAGTGTCACCCATCGAGATCGGCCAGCGAGTACAAAACTTTGCCAATAAAAAATTAAGCACACCCAAAAGAGGAGGAAACAAAAAAAAAAAGCACAGAAAAGCAAAAAGTTCTTCTTTTTGTAGATCCGGAGAAAATGGTCAGGGGAAACACGTATTAGCCAGCTTTGTCGCTTAATTTGTTAAATGTTTTCATTTGGAATTGAGGTTAGAGCGGGAATTGTTGAACATAATGGACTGTAACGGATGTAGAGAATATCTGAAAGTCTGGGCCCACAAAGTTTCCATTAGCAAGAACACCTTTACTTTATTGATAAAATTTTCAAAGCAAGCAACATTTTTATCATAAGATTTAGAAATAAGAATCCTACATTCTTTGGAAGCTTTTCCCTTTCAAAAATCATAAAAATCCTTTAAAATCATTTTTTTTTGAATCCTTTAAGCATTGATAAGTTATCTTTCAATATTTTAAAACATTTTGGGTTAACTGACCCGCTTTGCGGCAGTTCGTTGCCCTGAATATTAAACTGTTATCACGCTGATTTCATCCCCATTTTGACCTTTTGTGGCACTCGAAAATATGGCTTAAATGTCTTACCAATTCGCACACGCCTCAGGAAACAATGCGAAGAATAGTAATAAATAATTTATAACTGCGCATTTGCCACATTAATCACGAGCCAACGCTGCTGTGCTGCCGGCCAAAAGAGAGAGAAAAAAAAGAAAGAGGAATATGGCCAACAGCGGCCAAATCCCTTTCCGGCAAAGTTTGTCCCGTTCCCCAAAAAGCCGACGCATATTAATTTCGGCACACTCCCCATTCAGACCCTCCCCCTCCATCGGTGTCCTTCGAATTTTCCCTCTGCACGTCCGTGGATTCTCAGGCACAGCGAAGCGTACAAATTGCCATCACTTGCGTTCAATTTTAGACTTTTCCAAGCAAATGCACAAACGCGATTAAAATGCTGACGAATGCTGGCGAAAGGGGCAGCAGTGGCAAAGGGGGCGAGAGGGGCTGGACATTGGCGCCGCCGAAAAATGTCAAGGACTCGGCAGGACATGCCGTATACGGCGACCTGTGAACCGGGAACACCATTGCCAAACCGTGCCAAGCTGCATTTGCATATCGCACAAACCGCTTCAATTTCACACCACGTTGCCGCTTTTCGTCCTTTGCGCCTCTTTAAAGTCCTCGCGCTCTCCAAATAAATTCATTCACGTCATTCAGAGATGTGTAAGCTTAATAAAAAAATCATATATAAACTAAGAATCAATGCTGAAATACCTTTAAATAAATTATGGGATTCAAAAGAGCTGAAGTACTATGCAATATATTGTGCCGAAAACTGGTAATACTTGAAATGATCTAATTTATGTATTTAATAATTAAGGACCATTCTGTCGCATCATTTGCTGCTTAGGGTTATTTTTACTGATGTTTTGGGTCGTTGGCAACGTGCGGGCCAGGGCTCGTTAAAAAGCGAAGGAGAGCTAATTTATTTTAGCCAACTTAAATTGGCTTAGGCGAATGACCAGAAGAAAACAAATGGCGCGTTATCTGGAAACCAAAGCCGGCTAAAGGGATGGCCCTGGTCAAAGTGCGGGTGCAATGCAAAATGAGAGCAACAACTGTGCTGGGCAAAAAACAAGACCAGCGACAGCAACAACTGTCAGTTTCATTAAAAACAATGAAATCTGCTAAGAGCCAAAAGTTTAAATGACCGTCTAACAACTGCAAAGGATAAAAAGGACACCAGCGCGCACATACACATACCTAAAAGGGCACTCGAAAAGCTCTTGAAAAAAAGTCAGGCAAAAACGTCTGCAGTAAAATATGTACTCGAAAACAAAGTCCAAACAATAAACCAAATGGCGGAAAAGCAGAGAAAACGTTTGCAAAATAAGCTATATAAAACCCCAAACAAGCACAGTTTGTGACCCTTTTTAGCGGACAATGCGCGGACTTTTCTTGGTTCCTCTTTCCTATTTATGTCTAAGACAAGAAAAAAACCATTACAAGATACAATTAGCTGCCAAAAATGAGGCCAACAGGACAGCCCATCTTTTCATAGTTCAAAATCACTGGATCCTTGAAACTACGGGAAACTGAGGTTTAAAAAGACCGAATACGTATTTGTGTCAAAGAAATTATTATAATACAACGTAGAAGTGAAGTAATGCCTTTGCTTTAGTTCCGAAATGGCCAGCAAAAAAGAAATGCAGCACCATTACCAAATAAACACAAATAAAACACAATGTTGCCATTTACAATGGCTGCCAAATCTCTGTGAGACTTTTCACAATGGAAACGCACTGAAGTGCTCTCGAAAATCAATGCAAAGATGCCCCACCAACCAAGCTTATGCTTGGACACATTTCCAGCAAGCCACTTTGGGGAAAAGAGCGGAAAGACATTAACTTTTAATTCGATCGTTTATAAGCACAATGCAAAATCCCCAGCAGATGCATCTGCAAATGCAAATCTAGCCGAAGAGAGACCAAAAGCTGATAATTGCGGTGCGCCAATAAAAAGCGAATTAAGCTAATTGCCAAATTTTCAAAATCCCCAAAAGCATTAGGAATTGGAAAGCACCAGTGCCAGAACAAAGATGCCCCAACAGCAACAAAAAGCCCAAAAGAGTAATGAAAGTGGAGCAAAATGCGAAACTGCTACAGAGGAGCGCACATGTTGCCAAAACTTTTCAGCCTTTATTCCTCCCCCGTTATTTTCCGACGTCTGCATTTCTATAAGAGTACAAGTGGAGTGTAATTACAGCCAAAAATTGATAACACACAAAAATGGCGCTCAGCCAGCCAGTGCAATTAAAGTCGGGCTGAAGATGGGGATAGCCTCCTCTTGAAAGTGGGTCAGGCGTATAGTGTAATTAACCCAATTGATACGGCAGAAAGCCTCAGCAAAATACCAAATTTCGAGCGAAAATCGATCTTTTTTGCAAGCGTAATAAAGTTTTAACCGAGATTACATGACTTGAAACTAATTAGGATAAGACTTCACAATAGAAAAGACAGGGGTGTTTTTTCCGCTTCGCTTAAATATCATCTGATATGAATTTTATCTTACAACACGCTATATTTCCGGTCATTTTCATAAAATTAAGCAATTTACCGGATTGCAGCACAGCAGACAATTGTACTCCAAGAGTCCATCTAGAAATGCATTGATATGCATAATGTAAGTGTGCACGGTTGAGGGTAATTACTCCTAAGTGGGCTATTTGACTAAGGGCCTTACACTCGACATATGCAGGCATGAATGAACGCAATTCAAGGTATTAAACAAGGGCCAAAAGCCATGTTTTTATGCTTAGACCCTGAAAAATGGCAATTATAAGTGTGTGTGCTAGATATCAAATATTTAAAACACAACGTACCGGTAATAAAGCGTTCCCCGTTTTCCAGCTCGATTCCCGCCAGCGTGCTCGTTATTTCGACCCTCTATCCCTGTGTTACGTCCTGTCATTGAAAATGAGTGTAATTTATGTATTAGCGTGTGCTCGTGTGTGTATGCCGGCCGCATAATAAAACATGCAAAAATATGCAAATTGCCGCAGTCAACGCGATGAACTTTCATTACGCCTTGTTCCCGTCGCTCTAAAGAGCATTTTCCGCTTTCCTCGACTAGCCTAGAAAATCGATTAAATCACTTAAAGAGTTTATCGAACTTTATGCCACAGCCAGAAGCGACCAAAACGCTTCAAGCCCACCAAGACTTTGTGAGAAGCGCATAGAGAGGCGCAGTGTGCGAAGGGGATGGCGCACAGACATGGCCGATGTGCATAATTTTTGCACGCTAGATTGTCATTTAAAATGAGTTAAGCTCGGGCAATTGCTGCAATGCGGAAAACTTCGCAAGCCTCAGTCTGAGTCGGATTTTGAGTCCGAGTCCTGGTCGGTTGGTCGGTTGGTCGGTTGGACGTGGGTCGTCAGGTAACTGGCGTTATAATGAGCAAACAATAAAAGCAAACGTCTCTGCACGAAACAATGACGAGAACGAGAACCAGAACGAGAAAGAGACAGAGACAGAGACAGAGACAGAGACAGACAGCGTGGAAAATGAAAGAGACGGGGCAAAAAACACACACAAACAAAAACCAATTAGATGCAGCGAGGACAGCGAAGGCCAAAGGTGGCAGCTGCAACTTTTCGTGTCCTGTCGATGTTGCGACAGGTCGACGGTTGGCTGCGGCGTCTGAGTGGAACGGGGGGCACGTCCTTTTCCCATTGTGCCCCTTGTTAGCGAGGGCCAAAGAAAGCAGCTCCAGTTCAGCAAAAAGTATCCTAAATACAAGTACGACAATGGCAACCATCTATCGCTATGCTAATTGCATTCTCATTGTTAATTACAAGCGTTTAAGCAAAAGTTTTCTTTTTTATAGCACTGCAGGGTTCTGAACGCGGAACTGGAATGTCAGCAGGATTATTACCAATTGAATAAGTTAAATTCAGCAAATAGGGTGTAAAAGTAGATGTTTTCAAGTCTTTTGCTAAAAACTAATCTACAAAGTTTATTCTTACTAATTTGAGAAGAAGTGAGAACTAACATAATATAGTACAGATTTCTGTACTATTTACTTTGAAACATATTCAACCATAGGTTTTATGATTTTGATTTAAGATTCCCTGCCCATTAACTCCACTTGGAAGATTGTTTTTATTGGCCGTTAGCCCCACCTGTCCCCCTGAGCCGCCTGTAGCAACCCCCTTTGGCTTCCTGCTGCTCCGCCGCCCTTTAAAGGACTTTTCGGTACTTCCCCCACTTTTACTTTTCACTCACAGCGTGACTTTTACAGCCTCTTAATTTGAGCACTCGCCTGTCGAAGATTCAGAGGGTTTCTTTCCACGGCGGCTAATAGGAGCCGTGTTTGGCGGGGTTGGAGGCAAAAATTAATTTGTTGCAGACGACGCTTTTAATGTGGCTTTGTGTTAAATTAATGTGCCACTCGCTTGTGCCCCCGCTCGATGCCTCTTTACATTTTGCTGCTCACGTTCCTGTCACGTAATTCCCATTTTCATTCCGCCCTTCAGTGTACCTGCCACGCCCACGTGCCGCATTGTAAATTTGATAGATTACTGAGAGCCCACGATGGGCGCTCAAAACCCCAAGAAACACGACCCAAAATCACAATGCGCTCAACTTTGCAAGGCAATAATCATGGCCTTCTATTGAGCTGCTACCCATCGCTCATTTACCCATTCCGCAGAAGTCATAAACATGTAATCTCGCCTACGGGCTGTGCATCAATCAAAACTGACTGAGAGATCGACTATCAAACATTGAAATGTTTTTATATTTGGAACGTGAACGTTTTACCGAGGATAGAATGTGTATACGCATTTTAAGCAGCAAGCTCTGGTAGTTGCAACAATTAAAGATAAATTAAACTTTATTGGAATAAAATGTCTGCGGCTAGATATTTAGATATACACATGTGGTATACACACACTTCTATACACGTTTGTTTAGCCGAGTTGTGTGAATGGAGGTGCTGAGATTTCGATGCCGAGACAGCAAAGCCATTTCCGGCCAGACAAAAAGCTGGAATGGAAGCTCGGAATTTCCGTTTCTATTGTTCGGGTTTCGATTCTGTTTTTCCATATTTATTTCACTGGCTGTCTTTATTTTATTGCTGCCGGAGCTCGAAAAGGACAAAGGCAAAGTCCCCGGCAAGCGCGAGCCAATTCGCTGCACAAACAAAAATCAAAACGAAAACGACAAAATGAAAATAAATATAAAAACAAGAAAATCTCATTTATCTTCTCAATGTGGCCGCAGGCGCATTCAATGCCATCCAAGAAGACATGTCAAACTTCTCCCTCAATGTTGTCGTTTAGCTTAATGGAATTTGTCGCTAGCATTTAGTCCGCCAACAGGGCGTATGTGTGTTGGCCTGTTGGCTTGTTGGCCCGATGTACAGCAATTGGCAAAATACTTTATAATGCCCGGGCTGAGTTTTCTTTAATGCATAATAGATGCACTGGTGATACAATCTAATTGAAAAAGTACATTAGTGCGTTTGTGCGCTTGTGCAGGTAGTAGACTTACACGTAATTGACATTCATCTGTGACATTTAAGCCAAAATGCCACTTTTAAAGCAACAAGCATGTCTTTGAATTTACTAAACCAGCCTTTCCCCATATCCTTGCTCTCCTTGCAGACAACGAACTGTATTCCGGCACCGTGGCGGATTTCAGTGGCAGCGATCCGATTATCTACCGAGAACCCCTGCAGACCGAGCAGTACGATAGCCTAAGTCTCAACGGTAAGTTGCTGGCCGCGATTGTAGCCACTTGTGGTAATTGAAAATGTCATGGACCCTGTCATAAGCGCAGTGCGAGTCCTGGGTACGCAGATCCTTCTACCCGCCGCCACCGCCGCCCATGACTGTCCATGGTGTCCTGTCGAATGTCAGTTGTCGCGTTGGCCCGCGATTGCCTTTTGCATATTTCAAGGGCCTTGGCCATGTTCAGCTTCCATTAACTGAATCTGAATCCGAACCGACATGGCACGTTCGACTGTCATTTACCGCCGAAGATGTGCGACAGACTTCATAATTCATATTAAATAGCCCGCATCGGAACTATTACTGGGTTGCTCTAAAGTGGTTCACTGAAAATTTACAGAAACTCTTACTTAGGTATTATTTGTCTTTCTTTGGATCCATATCAACTTGTTAGAATATTACAATTTAAGGAAAAATTCAAGTCAGAGACAAAACTCTTCCTTTTTAACTCTGTGTACACTTTGTCATAGGGACAACTACTGAATAACATATTTACACTTTGTCATAGGGACAACTACTGAATTATCATGTGTACACTTTGTCATTGAGAAAACTACTGAATTTTAGTGTAACTATTAAACCCGAATACGTCGTTTATTCAGAACCTTTGCATAAGAATGAACCCATAAAGCCATCGCATATTACTCGCCCATATCCATCATAAATTCATGGAAATCGAAAGTATTTCAAAAGCGACAGCTATAAAATTGTTTACAAGCTCGAAAACTATAAATGAATTTGATGAGCGAACTTTTTGCCATTTCTCGCTTCGCAGCCCCGAACTTTGTGAGCTCATTTACGCAGGGGGACTTTGTCTATTTCTTCTTTCGCGAAACCGCCGTGGAGTTCATCAACTGCGGCAAGGTGAGTACACACGTGCAACATCCAATCGAGAGTTTTCCAATCGATTTGGGGCCCGAGCATCAGCAAATGCAATCAAACGCGGCGAGGACACAATCAAAGTTGGACAGAAAACAACTGCTGATGTTTGGATTATTTATGCTCCGCAGATTGTCGCATTTGCTGGTGCTCAGCATCCAGACATTTGCTAGCCCCCAGCTGAGCAGAATTAATATCTTATCATCCGTTGGTCTTTCCAGGCGATTTATTCGCGCGTTGCCCGCGTCTGCAAATGGGACAAAGGTGGCCCGCATCGCTTCCGCAACCGCTGGACATCCTTTCTCAAGTCCCGCCTCAACTGCTCCATTCCTGGCGATTATCCTTTCTACTTTAACGAAATCCGTAAGTGTTCGGCTTTAAGTGAACGAATGCGCTGCATTTGGCTGTGCAATTGAAGAAGTGTGTATGACGTTTGTGATTAAAAATGACAGGTTCGCTCAGCCAGCTAAAATTAGTTTTCACAGTATTAATTAGCAAATTGCCGTTTGCCAATCACCAAAAATACATTCTGCCGCTGCCTAAACTAAATAAAATGTTTTGTGAACAGCGTAAATTATGTTGCTAATTGAAAGCAAACAGCTAAATTGCTGAAAATATGTTAAATAATACATCAGCACTGCTTAAAATGCGTACAAAGTGATGAAATAAAAATATTTAATTTAATTGCCGCGTTTAGAATCTGCTAGCAATCTGGTGGAGGGACAGTACGGCTCGATGAGCTCGAAACTGATCTACGGAGTCTTCAACACGCCGAGCAACTCGATTCCCGGCTCGGCGGTTTGTGCCTTTGCCCTCCAGGTGAGTTGCCTTGCCACCGAATTGTTTCTTGAAATGGAAAATTTAATTTTGCTCCCGCTCCCGCCTTCTCGCCGCACAGGACATTGCCGATACGTTTGAGGGTCAGTTCAAGGAGCAGACCGGCATCAACTCCAACTGGCTGCCAGTTAACAACGCCAAGGTAAGAGTCCCAAACGCAAATCCCGAATTTCTTGTGACCGCACTCCGGCACATCTGTTGCCTGCAAAATTTATGACTTATGGTTTGCCGTAAAAATGTATTCTTCGCTTGGCACAAATTCTGCATTTGCATTTTCGAATGCCTTTGCCAATTTCCAGCGGATGACTGCACATGTCGCCATCGATTTGGGGCCTTCATTTGCCATAAGGACCAGGGAATCGCCTTATTGGAACTACCAATACTTATCACCAATCTATAGTTGGTTGCAAAATTTGCATTTGTGTGCTTCACCTATTACCATCAATATGTGTTGTATCCTCCTTTTTTTCAGGTGCCCGATCCTCGACCCGGTTCCTGTCACAACGATTCGAGAGCGCTTCCGGATCCCACGCTGAACTTCATCAAAACACATTCGCTAATGGACGAGAATGTGCCGGCATTTTTCAGTCAACCGATTTTGGTCCGGACGAGCACAATGTGAGTACACACACACATATGTATATATGTATATGTATATGCACGTGGTCCTTATTTCGTTGCTTCGTCACTTCCGTTTCCGGTGCGAGAGATATGACAGAACTCTGAATGGTAGTAAATAAATCCGTACTCTGCCAACTGGCCAACTTCGCCTGGTTTCGTGGCTGTTGTTGATTTAAAAGTACACGACACATATCACATGTACACTCGCCAACTCTTAAACTATTGCTGAATCCATGAGTACCATGGTTGGGTCTGTCGTCGCACACAGAATGCTCAAACTTACTAGCTTTCCACAAGCATATCCTGCCATAGATTTGCCATCGCATGGGTTTATTCCCTCCATGTTGCAGCATCTGTTTCAGTTTATGGAAATTCGATAAGGTCTTAGTCAGCGCAAATAACCGTAAACCGTAGCAGCCTGAACTGCAAACGGAAAGAAAACGGGTGGGTGGTTGCAATAAATTATTTGCCAGCGATTTCGCCTCTCTGGCCGGAGGGAGAATTTAAAAATTCAATTTGGTAACTTTTCCATGTAATTGAGCCACAATTATGGCGAAAAGCGCCGAGATGTGTGCTGGCAAAGTGGTGAAACTTTAAAGAGGGCTAAATCATAGGCGAGCCACTGAGCAGCACTTGCGACTGGAAGTTACTGCGCACAGTGGGGCAATTTCAGCAGCATTTGCACAAATTAAGCATGCGACATGTGAACAGATGACAGGAAAACACATGAAAACCAAAGGAACAGCACATAAAAATGAAGAGCAATGCTGCCCCACATTTATTCCGACTTTGGGTAGTTTTGCTGACATATTTGTAACCGAAAATCAAAGATTACTCCATGGAGTAGGAGGCCCATGGCCAAAATGATTTTTGGGGCAGCAAGAACCACTGTGGCCAAATGGTAACCCAGGTGGTGGGGCAGGTGCAGTTGCTCTTGCGATAGTTTGAAGCAAACGAAGCGAGCCAGCCAGAAGGAAATGCATGGATGCGCTGAGGAGGCAACCCGTAACGAAAATATGTATGCACAACTGAATAAATTAGAATGAAATATGGAACACGTAGCAACAACGCAGGCTGCGGACCTGCTCCTGCATCCGCATCCCTATCCCCATTCCCATTCCCATTCCCATCCGCATCCGCATTGGCATCCCTTCCACATCCGCATCCCCTGAACATTTTCTGTGCCACATGAGCACACCACAACAAATGCACGTGGAGTGGGTGAAGTGGGTGGAGTGGGTGGAGTGGGTGGAGTGGGGCAGCCACTTTCTGCAACTGACTCACTGCATTTTGGGGGCTGGAGCAGCGGATGCTCCGCCCCAGGACGCGGGCGTGCATCGGAATTTAATCAAGACCCCAGGACACTCAATTGAAAGCCATAAAAATGCGCAAAAGTTACTTCAGCATTTTTCTCATTTTGTGCCTCAGCTGTTCTCTCATATGGCAGAACGTCAACTTTTTGACTTCATCTTGATTTAAATCCGACTGCCTTAAACTGAGATTTCATATTTGGGGGCATCATTAGGCGTCATCTTCAGTCCATAAATCAATTTATTAACTGGGTCATAGATGTGGCGTCTATTGGGAACGAGTCAATATCTAATCATCGCATCTGGTTAATGCATTTAATTGGCCATATCCACAAGAGGTAAGATGTTTGGCTGTTGCCGTTAAACTGGAAAACACATTAAGGAAAAAAGATAGTTTTTCAAGTTCTTAACTACTTTAAGCCGCATTCAGCATGTCGCTTTTCTGTCAACAGGAAACGTAAGATTACTTTTAATTCCCATCGGCTCCTGGCCGCTTAGCCTTTGAGCCAGGTCAATATTGTGGGGAAAATTCATTTATCATGTTTTCCAATTCGCCACAAACAATGCGCATAAATTATTCTCGAGTCGAAACCAGGGCGAAATACCGCAAAACGAGGGCGTCGCCAATACTCGTAAGATAGGCTGGAAATTTGGGGATTTATTGAACGCAAATGACAAAATCAAATCAGAAATTCTGCAGAATTTATGGCATTTGGCCAAAACATAAATTTATTATAATTCCGTTCGTTTGGCCAGCACATTTCCGCTGCCTGTGTGTGTGTGTGGGTGTGGGGGCGTGGCCGAAATAAATCTGGAAAAAAGGCAATAATTTGCATAGTGCCGAAAGTTTTGCACCAAGTTGAAAGCCGTACTCATGAAACGTCGACAAAAGTTGAATGTACCAGCTCGGGCTCCGTTACAAATTGTTTCCTGACGCAGACCGGAAGCATCCCATATTCAACCGATTCCAGCCAGCCGGCTGACCATATCCCGTCTGCATCTTCCTGTCCCAAGATATCGCACTGAGGAACATCCTCGACGTGTTCTTATCGCTTTCACTGCAACCTGGCACCCCAAACGGGTTGGAGACTTGCTCCGAGTGAGAGGTGGACAAATGAGGAGCAACTTCCCGCCCATTGTGTACCGCCCATTTGTCTGGCAAGTTGGCTGTCATCGTCGCCCTTTGAACTCATCGGAGCGATACAAAAAGTTGGCAACATTTTTGCAAGTTTCAATTGCCAGAACTTTGGACTTTGACCCGGAGCAGGACGTGTTCTTAGGTCCTGGCTAGCATTTTTTCTCTACTCCTGCTCACATATTTGTTTTGCATATGCTGAAGTTTCAAGTCCGTCAGCTTTAAAATTGCATATATTTGAAAATTTCAAAACAAAAAAGGAAGCTATTCTAATTTGTTGAGCAAATGTTCCACATTTCCACAATAAAGTTTATTTGCCAAATAGCGATAGAAATATTATAATAATAACCAAACTCCGAACTGTGCATTGCATTGCAGCCTAACTTTAGTTAAATTCTGCAAAATATATTAAATTGCTGGCAAAGAGCTTACAGCCAAATGGTTTTTTATTCTAAAATCCACACTTGACATAACTGCTTTGAAATGAAAACTTTGTTCGATGATTTTTTGCACAATTGTTGAGCAATTCGGAAGTGGTTGCTCCACCCGAACCGGAGTCCCGAAAACAAGATTAGTTAATTAACAATAAAAAAGCAAAGCAATGGAGCACAGCTCCCAGCTCCCATTTGGTGGCCCATCCCAGCTGCCGGGCATTTGCATTTAAATCGAGGCAGAAGGCATGACAGCAACAATGGACATGGACCAGGCCACAAATGTTGCAACAACGGGGCATCGTTTTTGCGGTGAAATCAGGGGGAAGTTTTCGTTTTTATTTCATCCACTTGTGCTGTTGTTTTGAATATGTTTTTCCATAAAAACACAAACAGTTTGTTGCTGTTGCAGCACTCGTTGCCTTGCCGCTTGTATGTATCTCGCATTGGCAGTCATGTTGCAGCGGTAGTTGTTTGTTCAAGTCCTCGACTAACCAGTCCTGCCAGCCAACCAGCCACAGACTACTTCTCACTCCTTCACATTGCGACAGCGAGAACCATTTTGGCATCCGTCCATTATTAATGGACATCTAACCGAAATGACAGACGTACGTCCATTGTCAGGATGAACATTGCCAGGAGAACTGGCGAAATACATTGTCGCAAAATAAAGAAAACATGGATTGACATTCATTCCGCCATTTGGATGCTGACCACCAGAGTCGCTGATGAAAGAAGTATTAGATACAAATGAAACCGAATGGGAAAAGTAATTAAGAAGCTGAATAAATATGGGCGACATTTAATATATACATCCCCATTAATTTCGTGTCTTTTTCGTTCTTTTGCAGATACCGCTTCACTCAAATCGCCGTAGATGCGCAGATCAAAACTCCTGGCGGCAAGACATATGACGTTATTTTTGTGGGCACAGGTGTGTGGCAATACCAAATTAAATAACAAGCTTCTGCACTTGGTACAATAATAATAAATCTAATGTTGCAACAGATCATGGCAAGATTATCAAGTCCGTGAACGCCGAGTCCGCCGATTCCGCAGAAAAAGTCACCTCCGTGGTCATCGAGGAGATCGACGTCCTGACCAAGAGTGAGCCCATTCGCAATCTGGAGATAGTCAGAACCATGCAGTACGGTGAGTAGTGCTCTTGGCCAAAACGAATATGCAGACATCAACCCTTTTTTTGCGATCCGCAGATCAACCCAAAGATGGCAGCTACGACGATGGCAAATTAATCATTGTGACGGACAGCCAAGTGGTAGCCATACAATTGCATCGTTGTCACAATGACAAAATCACCAGCTGCAGGTGAGTGCCCCACCCTACCCTGCCCCTCATCCGACTGCAGACAATGGCATTTTTATTATCATGTAACATTCTGCGTGACTCCCGTGTCGCCTGTCAGACACTTGACAGCCTCAATATGCAGTATATTCGTGGGCTACACTGAAAATGCTAATATCATATATCTGCTCAAGGTTTTTTGTACCACTTTTTCCTTGCTATAAAATGTTGAATCAATAAATTGCAATATTAAATATAATTTAAAATTCTTCAGATGCCTTACAATCTAATCTCTGCAAAGTACATTTGAGCTAGCTTTAAGCAAAAATATCATACAAAAATTGTATGAAAATAAAGCAAACTGATTAATTAATTAAATATCATATGTAAGAAAACTAGGAATGCAATTTAAATAATATAATAGGTCGGGAAATATCTCCCTTCCGCCTTTGTGTCTTTTGAATTTCGCGGCTATGTACAAAGCGCTACAGAGCTCGTATCTGTATATCGTATCTAATATAAAATCTGTCCAGTTGGATCCCCGAATGTCACTCCCTTATAGCCCTTCATATTTACATATTACCTTGTAGACTTTTTCTGAGTGCACGTATTTATCCACAATTTAACGTCCGTTTGCAGCGAGTGCGTCGCACTGCAGGATCCGTACTGCGCCTGGGACAAAATCGCCGGCAAGTGCCGTTCCCACGGCGCTCCACGGTGGCTGGAGGAGAACTACTTCTACCAGAATGTGGCCACTGGCCAGCATGCGGCCTGCCCCTCAGGTGAGTGCCCGGTTCTGCAGTCCTAACTGGCCAAGATTGCCGATATTAACGCCATTCTGGTCGTGCAGGCAAAATCAATTCGAAGGATGCCAACGCTGGGGAGCAGAAGGGCTTCCGCAACGACATGGACTTATTGGATTCGCGGCGCCAGAGCAAGGATCAGGAAATCATCGACAATATTGATAAGAACTTTGAAGGTGATTTACCTAAACGCATTTCCAGCATATTTTTCCATCATATTTATTTTGCATTTGTTCGTTTTTGTATTATGCACGTACCCGCTTGTCACTTTGCCCTGCCCACCTCCTCCTAGCCACCTTCGACCTTTGCTTGTCCGTGTTTTCCACTCCGTGTTGTCTGCCTGGCAAATCATATTTTCATTTTGTCAGGATTCCCCGGACTCCGACTGCCGGCTTGTTGGCACTTTATGCCATTCAAGTGTCTTGCACTTGCATTTCAGCCAAAGCGAATTTGCTTTTTACGAGCTTATATTTATTTGTAAGCCCTGAACATGGGTGCAATTGGCTTTGGCTGTAATTGATAAGAAGTCATCGGGACAAGGATCATTTGATGACTTACTGAATTCGCTGCCATTTCACAGCCATTTCCATTGAATAATAATCAATTTAACATGAATTAACTTCTTTGCGATACTATTAAGCGATGAACTTACTAATCTTAAGTGCTTTTGTACAAGTATACTTAATATTTTGCCTGCTTTTGCTTCATTCAATGTGTATATATTCTTAATAAGCTATTTACCAAGATTTAATACAATACATTTATCTTTTCCAAGTTGAATTCTCGTTGTACAAGATTACTAACTGTTCCTATTCATATTGTTCTTGTTTCTTTCATTATGATTTCTGAACAATTACCGTGCAATTACCTTTACCGTGCGTTCTAAATTCGATGTTTGGATGTTTATTGATGTCGTTGCAATAATGGACCAACCTCCATAAAACCCGATACCCACACTATAACAACAAACCAAATCAATAAAATCGTTACATATTTGTTGTGATTTGGAATGTTTGTTGAATGTCTTGCCTAATGCACACTGTATCGATGCGAAACGAACTGAATCCGATACCCGACCATCCACTAACCGAAGGTCCCCAAATCTCTGCAGATATTATCAACGCCCAGTACACGGTGGAGACCCTTGTGATGGCCGTTCTGGCCGGTTCGATCTTCTCGCTGCTGGTCGGCTTCTTTACAGGCTACTTCTGCGGGCGCCGTTGCCACAAGGACGAGGACGACAACCTGCCGTATCCGGATACGGAGTACGAGTACTTCGAGCAGCGCCAGAATGTCAATAGGTGGGTGTAGTAGGGCCACAAGATAGGATTACCTGAAGTGATGCCTGCAGAAAGCTGGCGCCAAAAAGTAGGCAGCGGTTAGTAACCCTCTGTTTCGTCCACCAGCTTCCCCTCCTCCTGCCGCATCCAGCAGGAGCCCAAGCTGCTGCCCCAGGTGGAGGAGGTGACGTACGCGGAGCCGGTGCTCCTGCCCCAGCCGCCGCCGCCCAATAAGATGCACTCGCCGAAGAACACGCTGCGCAAGCCCCCGATGCACCAGATGCACCAGGGTCCCAACTCGGAGACCCTCTTCCAGTTCCAGCCCGACGGCTACAACACCCAGCAGTCGTACCGCGGTCGCGACAACTTCGGCACACTGCGTTCCCACCAGGTGATGGTGAGTAGTGGTATCTCCGCTCTGTATCCGATTTATAACTCCTTTTGCCATTCGCAGGGCGACAATTACAGGCGCGGCGATGGCTTCTCCACCACCCGCAGCGTCAAGAAGGTGAGTTGAGCCAGCTTTTATAGCGTTCTGGGAGAGCAGAGCGATTTGTTTTTATTTTCCGACTATCGTACTCGTACTACAACTAATCTCTAACCGTATCCATTGCGCTCTTTTCGATGTTGTTCGACATTTATTGACATTACTATAGTTAACTAACTTGCTCGCCCATCGAGAGTCCTGTGCTGCGCTTGTATTTGATTGAACTCTCCTCACACAATCGTCGATTGGTGTATTTCTTAGCCTCACCTTTACTATCTGTGTGTTTTGTGTTCGAGTGTGTGCGAGTGCCTTGCCCTCACTCCCTCTATGTGTGTGTTACCAAGTATATAGCACCAAGTCGCATCACTGTCACATATCATTACCAAATCGACTCATATTGCTAACATCGTAGTTAATGTTGTTGTGGTCTTTTTCTTTTTCTTTTACTCGTACCTCTGCATGCTTATCTATTATTTAAACTAATACTCACTATTTAAACTTATATAAGAACACCGGATAGAACATTTGTGGGGGTGTCTGGCATAATATCACCGTCTAAAATGAGTAATAAACTCCGTTTCCCTTGTATATTATAACGCCTTCATAATTTAACCCCGATTTCCATCACTCACGATCAACAGCATGTTCATTCACCATCTTCATTCCATAAACAAAGCTTATACTTTCGGGTTCTGTCCCAAGGCTGGAAATACACCAATCGCTCAGATACGTGGGATTGGATCTCTGCAGGGCTTTGTTGTACCCCTATCTCTATCTAAGCATTTGTACAGCTACATTCCTACTACTCACTCACTACTTCAGCTCAAAGAGAAACTCTTTCTATCGATACTAACTTTTGCATTCTAACAACACAAGAAGACCACAAAAAACCGCAAACCAAAAACCAAAAATCTATCTCTATCTTTTCTCTATTCTTCTTCCCCTTTTTACATTAGGTTTACCTTTGAGACGGGAGTGGGGCGGCTGAAACCAGTCAGGGACTAATTACCCAAAATATGGTAAATACTTATTTATAACTAAAGCCATTTTAGTTTATTTGTTTCAGTTTGATTTTGATTTATTTTATTTCTTTCTGTCCTTTATGGTTTCACGTTTCTTTGGCGGGTTTTCGTTTGCTGTCATTATTAATCTGGAAAATATTTTGCTCAAAAGCTGCAATACGGAAGCTCACTTCGCAACGAGCTAACCCGAAATTCCATAGGCAAAAAGTAATTTTCAAAATCTCCCCGATTTCGCTCACACTTTGCATAATTCAATTTCAAGTTTTGAGCACCATTGCAATTTTATTTCTATTTTCGCTAGATATTTAGGCACTGTTGCAGAAGCTTTGTTGTTTGCTATCTCCTACTCTCTTCACTCAACCTCTCTTTTTGTTCCACACTACACATTTTCGAATGGCTAAGAAGGTTATCGATCAATCAGTAGCTCAATCGCTCAATCGCTCAATCAGGCCAGTCCAGTCCAGCCCAGTCAGCCATCCCGCGCCCAACTCGCTTCGCAAATCGCCAGCGCTTCCTTCGACCTTTGTTTGACCTCTGTGTGATTGAGAGTGTGTGTGTGTTGTCTGGTTGGACACGGCGCCATCCGCTGTACCCACATTCCAGTACCAAAATCCCACCCAGCCTGAACCCCCCGAACCACTTGAACTCCTCTGCATGGGCGCCAAACTCGCAGTTCAATAGACGCCATTGATTACACCAAAATACTTCAGAGATATTTGAAACAATAGGAAGTGCGTGTGTGCATCCTAGACAACATTTGATATTTAACCCGATAATAATAAAACTACTACCCACCCACCATGATACGTGTACTCTTTTGCTTTCGTTTCTATATATGGTATATGCTAAACGTATTATTTCCCTTATTGCTTGCCCACTAAAATCTTCAGAGCCGATTGATTGATTAATTGGAAGTTATTGCATTAACCCACCAGAAATCCAAAATAAAACGGTACACTAATAGATCTTTATTTCTCGGTTCATAGAGCCACACTTTGACATACAAATTGAAATTGGCATTGCCTTGCAACATTTGAGAGCAAAAACTGATTGCGAACGTTTTCCTTAGATTCAAGCAAATTAGCAAATTATATTTTCTTGTGTTCGATTTTCTTCAACCATGACATGTGTAACTTTTCCAAAAACATATCTTCTGACTATAAGAGATGAGAAATTGATAACACTCCAACCCCATAGGCTGTAAACAACACAAACACACGTAACAGAAGTCTTGGTCGCGCAAGAAGACAGCCGCCCCGTCATGGCATTGGTAAGTCCAAAATCCTGAGTTCCATTAAGTTAGAGTTAGTACTTGACTGGCCCACAGAACCCAAACACACCCACACCCACACAGACACCCACTTTGAAAGTACTATACTATACATATGTCGCCAGGCTTTTTTCCCATCTGTATGGAGATCTGATCGATCCGTGATTCGAGACCCAAGTGGGTTGGACAGTTCTATTACAACACGTTGTTTCATCATTTGTGTGCTGTATTTTTCCCTTCCCCACCTTGATATATGTATTATTTAATACGTGTACTAGTAGTCTAACGATGTGTGTGTGTGTGTGTGCATGTTGCAGCAGATTCAGTGTTGTATCCAGATATTCATTTCACCGTCCTGTATGTGCCTCCTGTCCCAAGCATCGATGCAACATGCACCCAAGCACCCATGCCAAGTCGATGTGTCGCTATCTTCACTAATCCGTGTGCTTTCCGGCTCTTGCAGTAACTCAACACCGCTCGAATAGCCCCCAGCAGCAACAGCAGTCACAGCAGCCGCACTCCAGCTCCGGCTCCTCGCCCGTAATGTCCAACAGCAGCAGCAGTCCGGCTCCGCCCTCCAGTAGTCCCAGTCCGCAGGAGAGCCCCAAGAACTGCAGCTACATCTACCGTGATTGATTGATATGCAACACCAAATCGATGCCGCTCATCCAGGCCCAGTCCACGCACGCCCAGCCACACCCACACCCACATTCGCATCCACATCCAAGTCCGCCTCCGCCCCCCGGCCCGACCACGCCGCCAGCCCAGCCACGCACCAGGAGTCCAGTGATCAGCAGGACATATGCCAAGTCCATGCCTGTGACGCCAGTTCAACCGCAATCCCCGCTAGCCGATACGCCCTCCTACGAGCTCTACGAACGCCACTCCGATGCCGCCACCTACCATTTCGGGGATGAGTACGATGAGGATGATGACCAGGAGGACACCTCATCGCTGGCCATGATCACACCGCCGCCGCCCTACGACACTCCGCACCTGGTTGCCTCGCCGCCACTGCCGCCGCCACGTCGATTCCGCTTTGGCAACAGGGAGCTGTTCAGCATGAGTCCAGCCGCAGGCGGAGGCGGTGCCACGCCCACCGCCTCGTCAGGCAACCGCAGCAGCAGCGCCATAACGCCCACCAAGTTGAGTGCGGCGGCAGCCGCCATGTTTGCCGCACCCCAAGTGGCCACCCAGCTCAACCGGAAGTGGGCTCATCTGCAGCGGAGGCGGCGCAGGCGCAACAGCAGCTCCGGCGACTCCAAGGAGCTCGACAAACTGGTCCTGCAATCGGTCGACTGGGATGAGAACGAGATGTACTAGCACGCAAGGCAGTAATGGGAGAGCAGAAACACTTTGCATATTTGAATGGGATATAGTCTGCCCAAAGATGGAAGAGATTCCTTGTGCTGGCGTAATTAATTTGACCTTTTTAAAGATGTTGTAAAGTAGGTTTCTGCTACCTTCATTCGTGCACACAACTCATTCCCAACGTGGCGCTGAAATATAGGAAACACCCCTCCCTTCCCTTAAACTTAAAGTAGCAATCGAGAAAATCATTCATTAGCGTTAGAAGCTGGATGGGGGTTTACTTACACACAAAAGCCAGAGAAGTTATACACGAAGTTTATAGATATATAGCCTTTATACATACTCCCCGATCTGCTAAGTATACACAAGCATAACATAACATACGTATATATGACTCTATATATACCAATAGATTTCAAAGACGGTTCACAAGGATCGGCTGCGCTAAATTAGAGCTACACAATGATATTGTTAATTACGATTAGAGCAAGGGCAACAGATGTAAATATGAAACCTAGAATGGGAAAGACGTAACGTACTCTAAGCAAACCTTATTCGAATAGAGTATACTTGATATACACGATTTTTTGCATTTAACCCAGAGAAATTTAAAATAGATAAAATTAGAACGTCATAACAAATGGTTACGAACAAAGATAAAACAAAACAAAACAAAACGAAACGCTTATTACTGATTTATACAAATGAAATAAGTTACCGAAATAGTAGGAGGCAAACAAATTAGTCTTAAGCCGTCAGAGATCGGGGAAACATAAGGGGATTGCATTCGGGATTCATTCCGAACTGGATCTGGAACTGTAACTGCCAAACGCGATGCAGCGCTCCCAACGAAATCGAATCCATCGAGTGCATTTTCCATTGTCAATTTCATTTGCAGAGCCTCAAGCTACAGTACTTCTTCAGACTCAGACTCAGACTAGGAACGTGTAAATTATGTACAGTGCATTATGTGCATTATGCAACCGATCTGTACAGTGCGATCTGCAGTATGTGCGATATGTGCCATAATTGGGTTTGTGCCCACTTTGAGTTTAGTTGTTATTGTTTGCATTGATTCAGAATAGTTCTGCACCGAGAACACAACTCGCTATCTTTGTATATATTCGAATATATATATAAATATATACATATATACATACATATATGCATGAAGAGGGATACACAAATTTCATGTGAAGTGATCGATCAAAATTTAGTGAAAGCATTAAAACTGAACTTTAGCCTAGCCACATAGGGTTTGTAATATAGACTGGACAGAGGGCAGAACAAAACTTTTGAAAATATTTTCACTAGGGGCATTGCTAATGTTGTTCTCATATTAAAGTATATTAGAAATAGGATAAGCTAATTGATACTCAATATTTTGTATGAGAAACATTAAAATCATCCGATCAAACTTGGAAATTGCGTTGCAAAACGAGTAAAAAAGCGTAGAAATATCTAAATCAAAGCAAATGTATAAACAACAAGACCCATAAAAAGCAGTAGAGTTAAAAAGTAAATCCACACGGAAACGTAAGCGTATATATTGATTAATATATACTTTATGCAGCTGCAATTTAATGCTTTTTATATGCAATTTTACTTTTTGACAAAATGTATACAACCGAAGAAAAATCATCAACAGTGGATAGAAAAAATGCATAGAAACCAAGTAAAATCATTACGATTACATTTAGACAGCCAAAGACACGAGTGATTTTCAAATTTCGTTTTAAAGTTGTTTGTGCTAGTTTTTAATTAGTTTTATTTGTAAATATTATTTAAAGCCATTTAAACCGCTAAACAAACAATGTCACAACAATTGTTACAGTTTCTAAATATTTAGTTATTCAATTATACCCCTTTTGTATTATCTTCGTTTTCTTACAAGAAATAGTGTCGAGTACTTTGAAAGCAATAAAAACACTTGAGAAAATATATGAAAAATATAAATGAGATTCAGACACATAGAGTAGCAGCTCATGGTAAAACTTAGGAATACACTAGAGTTTTGAACTAATTCTAGATCTACATCAACTACTTATACAATTGCATACAAGTATTAATTGAATCAGATCATTAACTTTTATACACTTTACCATTTACATATATACAAGCAAACTGATTGCCGATTACCGATTATTCAATATACAAGGCAAATTTAACATGTAATTGTAATTTGAAGCCAGGCTGCAATTGAAAGGTTTTACAGTAAATCATGCCTACACACATAAACCAGCAACAACAGTAACAAGATCAGAGAATCCGTAAATATATACTTATACATAATATAGATGACCCATATACATACACTTATTAGATACTTTAGAAGAGAGATTCTCTAGAAATGCTTTTAAATTAAAAAATCCACGAAAAATAACAAAAAAAAGAAGTAATAAACAAGAAGAATAACTGATTTAAGCAAAGTATTTTATTAAAAACACTCAGTAAGGAAATGGCAAATTCAAGCGCAAAAACACAAAATAAAAACATATATATAAATTTCTTAAAACTTTCAGCGAAAGGCAAACATTTGTGAAATAAGCCAACTCAGACACTTTTTTAGAACATCAGAAATTGGGGTTGACGATGATGATGATCACTAGACGTCGTTGCAGATACTTTAAAGATAATTATAAGCTAAACGAAAACGATTTTTAACTTTCTCCGAATAAGACAAAAACAATTATTACCTACAAATGGTAGAAGCGCATTCATATTTGCTAATTAGCAACTTATTAAACTATAAAGAACAAGCAACATTTAAAAGCTAGAGCAGAAAGCAGGAACCCAAACAAAAAAGAACAAAAAAAAAACAAATAAAAACGAAAATGAAAATGAAAATGAAAACATGAATCCATGACACCACACACCCAAGTTTTCATTTTCCATTAAAAACGATATATATTCAAGTGCTTCTTACATAAAATAAATATAAATATATATGAAACAAAAAATATATTAATGATTACATGATAGATATTATTACGAGCAGGCATTACATTACAAATACCTACTAAATAGTTTAAGGCATTTACCACAAACTTGATTATTATGAACTGTATTATTATGTTTTGTGAAATCGAGCGAACTATTACAGATAAAGAAAATCAGATTACTGAGCGGATTTAGAGTAAGCGTAATAACTCTGTACTATATCCGGTTCCGTTTGGTTTTTTAATCTCTAAGTAGCCAGCTCTCTATGCAAATAGAATAAAGACGAACAACACACACTGACACGTAATCGATGCATTTTACTTACTTAAAGGCCATCAATGCAGCAAAGTAAAGCGAGTTCATGAATTCAATTTATATAATTATGTTAAGATTTTATAACGCAACAAGCCTAACGTATGCATTACCCATATGAATACTATTATGCCAATCTTTGTAAATACTTCACCAACCAAATAAATACTCCTTCATTCAAGCAAAACCAGATCCGACCCCTAACTTAATCGAAACACTTGATTTCCTTCCAACACCCACATCCACACACAATCCCAAAGAGATGCTTATCGGTTAGGTATTATCGAAGCATACGAGCCACGAGTATGTTATCCATTCTTTAGCGATTACAAATACGTAAGGATAAATTAAATTGTTGAAAATGTAGCGCAAGAACGTAATGAGTAACAAACTAAATGAAAGCCCAAAGCGAATAACAAATATTTAACCAAATAAGTTACGAAAGTTAGACACAAAACGGTACTTCCAAGCAACTATAGAGCTAACAGCAAGCCATTTAAATGAAAGAACTCAAATGCGAACTAAACTGTATGAATTGAATTCCCGTCCCGATCCCGGTTTAAGTCCGCTGATAGGTTGCACCGATAAGAGCCCCAGATCTTCTCAAGCAAATCCGAAGATCGCTAACGGTACGTGTGAAACGGTTCGGTAGCCCTATCTTCTAATTCCTCCATAGAAATCTACTCCACACAACTCCCATTAGGAATTCGTCAAGTTTTGGATTCAGAAACTAATACACAACACTTAATTATTCATGAATGCGGTATGTGCAGTATCATAAATCAGAGCGGCACCGCAAATCGAGAATCTACAGCATGAAGAAGCTATATAAGACAACAACATGAACAACAACAAATTGTTAGTAAAAAGACTGAGCTACAAAATATACAAGAAAAACACAAAAGAAACAAAAGCTAGAAACAAATCAGTGAATAACCTTGATTCAGTAACAAATTAATTAACGTGCATTTTTGGGTAAACGATTTGCGACAAATAGAAGCGGAGCAATTCGTTACAATTTTCAGTTTCATCAGTCGAAAATTTGTTAAGAAGTTCCTAGCACAAAACGCAGGCAAATCCATTACCAATCAATGTCAAGCCAGGTTCAATTGTGCATCTATGTATCTAGAAGGAACTTCTGCATTTACTTCTCAGCGCACGAGGGTTTGTTGAAATCGTAGGGAAGCTGCTAAAGAAAATACGTAATTTCACGCATTACCTTTAAGTTTGTATTTGGATTTGAATTAAGAGGCTTCTTGTTTAATTTGGGCCACTGCCACAGCATAATCGAGATTAAAATACCTAGAATGAATATATATAAACACGTATATACATATATAGACTCAAGTATATATGCATACACTTGCTTTTAGCTTTCCTAGAACTCTGATTTCCATACTTGAACGTACAGTAAGCTGCGAGACATAAGAGATAGTCGCTCTTAGACGCGAAATAATCAAACTGAAGCTGATGAAAACGACACGAGCTCAAAGATTTGGTCCGAGACAATTAATTCCACACAAACCAAACGGATCGGAATACATTCTGAAGCAAGCCACACAAAAGTTGAACATGCATGGCGAAAAAGAGAAATCGATTAATGAAAACCGCATATTATTAATGATTATTATATTGTATTATTATAACTGAAATATTTAGATGAAATGACGATTCTTAATTATAACACATTATTATAGATACATACTGAACAAGCCGAAGCAAAAGAAGAAATTGAAATGAAACTTAAAAAACAAAACGGAGGGAATGGAATCTAAAATGATTAATAAAAATGAAAATATAGAGAATATTATATTACGAACTCCCCAATGCGTTTTATTCCTGTTGAAAAACTTTTCAGATAAATACCTTCGGAGTAGTCAGAATTCTGGCATATGAAGAAGTTGGATCCCAGTTATATTTTATATAGCACTTATTAGCATTCTGTAATGGCTTGGGTAAAAGATGCAGATGGCTTTACCATGGAAGGGGAGTTTATCTCGGATGCAACTGGGAAGGAAGCGGTTTTCCTAAATTGGCGACATGAATTGGCCGGATGACTGGACCGCCGAAGATTGTGTTCGTGGATTCGTAGAGGAGTGAACCACTGCGAAAGGCAGCTTTTTATATAGCAAGCAAGCACTGTTTTGATTAAAGGCAAAAAGTTAACCAAATTTCGAACATGAAATATTTCGGAATACAATTTTAACAACGCATTTAATCAAGAAAAATGGTGTTCTGTAGGATTGGTATTTTAAGCAATTGTTTCGTAATCAATGTGGGTTGCACAACTGTTAAGCTGTACATAAGTTGTACACACATATAAATATGGGTTGAACTTTATTTAACATGGCGAAACACACTTCAACAACAAGAGAAGCTTGACCCAACGATAATCCTCTATCGGCCGCCGACCGGATGAGATTAGGTCCGAGCATCAAGACCCAGCGAACTATACTTGTTCAACCAAGAATTGAAGAAGTGTTGGCTCGGTAATTTGAATAGTTTGTGTAGTGTGTGTACATAAAAAATTTTATAATTATAATTAATAATGTGAAATTGTTAGTCTCGGAAGTCAATCCGCCAGCAGTTAGATAAGTAAAACATAAATATCGAGGGTGGATCAAAAACATCTCTGTTATTTCTTTGAACAAGTAGTTTAGGTATCCATGCAAACTAGCGGTTGCAAAACCACAAAGTTCCAAACCTTTCGTAAGCTTTCGTATTCACTGTTCTAGTGTGTAATCAAGCCAACCGCGCAGATCGACCCAAGGCTGTTTTGATTAGTGATAGTGCTTGGAGCTCTACAGGCCGTCGAATCCGATTCGGAAATCAGTTCTCTTCAAATCGCGACGGAGTGAGCAACATGAAGCCGTTGCTCCTAGTACTGGCCCTTTGTGGGGCCCAAATCCATGCCATCTCTGTGGGTCGATGGTCCCACAATGGCGACGACTACGACGAGGACGTAGGCGGGTTCGATTGGCGGCCTCCGCCGTTGAAGCCTCTTCCCCGGCTGTCAAAGCCACAGCCCCAGGAAGCCTGGGCTCAACTACCCGAAGTCGGCGAGATCTTCGGAATCAGTGGCTATAAGACCATTGCCAATCGCCCGGTGAATGCCTTCTTGGGTATACGCTATGGCACGGTTGGAGGCGGCTTGGCACGCTTCCAGGCAGCCCAACCAATTGGATACCAGGGACGGGTTAATGCCAGCGCGCGGAGTCCCAATTGTGCGCAGTTTCCGGAGCTCGATCGCCTGAGGTTGTCTGAGTCCCGGGGAGAAAATGTCGACGAATGCCTTACCTTGGACATCTACGCTCCCGAAGGTGCCAATCAGCTGCCCGTGTTGGTCTTTGTTCACGGAGAAATGCTGTTCGACGGTGGCTCAGAGGAGGCCCAACCAGACTATGTCCTGGAGAAGGATGTGCTGTTGGTCTCCATTAACTACCGACTGGCGCCCTTCGGCTTCCTAAGTGCTCTAACCGAAGAGCTTCCCGGAAACGTGGCCCTCTCCGATCTGCACCTAGCACTGGAGTGGCTGCAACGCAATCTGGTCCACTTTGGTGGCAATGCGGGACAGGTAACCCTAGTGGGTCAGGCCGGTGGCGCCACGTTGGCTCACGCCTTGAGCCTCAGCGGTCGTGCCGGTAATCTCTTCCAGCAGCTAATCCTGCAGTCGGGCACCGCCCTGAATCCGTACCTGATTGACAACCAGCCACTTGACACCCTGAGTACCTTCGCCCGCCTTGCCCGCTGCCCACTGCCACCCATAAACCCATTCGCACAAGGACTTAAGCCCCTCTACGACTGCCTCGGCCGACTGCCCACCTCCCAGCTGGTGGAGGCCTTCGAGCAGCTGCTCAATCAAAACGAGCACCTCGGCCTTACACAACTGGGCGGCTTCAAGCTCGTGGTCGGCGACCCTCTGGGCTTCCTGCCCAGCCCCCCGGCCTCACTGGTCACCAACAGCAGCCTTGCGCTGCCCATGATTGTCGGAGCCACCAAGGACGCCAGCGCCTTCATCGTGTCGCGTGAGTACTCACATCTGTTATGCTTATGGAGCTATTGAGTTAGAGGGGCCAGGATGTGTAGTAAATGCATATATGACTTCAAAACATAACATCAGTGTTGCAATCTATGATGGGTCGAGCTAATCTATTTCGGAAGGCGCCGATTGAGAGGCACTTTTGCTGATAAGGTGCTGTTCTCGAGGCCAAACTGATTAGGTCTAGCTTAAAATAACAATCCAATTAAGAAATCCTGAGTAAGCAGATAGCCTTTCGACAGAGGCATAAATGCTTCAAGATTTCTTTTAATTGTAACAAATATATTTTAGTATATTATGTTTAGAATAAATGGCTGATAATATTTGTTTCTCTCTGAATTCAGGAATCTATGACCAGCTTGCTCTCGTGCAGTCCCGCAATGTTAGTGACTACATCGACGTCGTCCTGCGCCACACAGCGCCGCCAAGCGAGCACCGCCTTTGGAAGCAGTGGGCACTGCGCGAGATCTTTACTCCGATTCAGGAACACACGGCTACTCTGAAGACAGTGGCCCATGGACTGCTCGAGCTGAGCAACTACATCCTGTATCGCGCCCCCGTGATTAACTCCATCCGTCAGTCGGTCCGCTCCACCCCAGCGTACTTGTACACCTTCGGCTATCGCGGACAGCACCATCGGTTCGGCCACCTGTCCAACCCTTTTCCCTTTGGAGTTGATGCCTCGCTCAGCGATGACAGCGTGTATTTGTTCCCCTATCCACCGGACACTAGTCAACTGAACCCCATGGACAGGTCTCTGTCCCGTGCCTTGGTCACCATGTGGGTGAACTTTGCTACTACTGGCGTGCCCGATCCCAATCCTGGTGTCTGGCCGCAGGCTACCTCTGAGTACGGTCCCCTACTACGATTCACAAATGATCAGCAAAGTCGGATTGAGCTGGATCAGCACTTTGGCGAGGGAATCAACTTGCCAAATCATAACTGGGTGGGCTATAAGCCGACCACTATCTTTTCACCTCCAATTACCACCACCACAACAACCACCAGCCGTCCATACGCCTACAACCCGTATGCCAATTGGCAAAACAGGCCTGCTCAGCAGCATCCGAACTGGCATCCTGCAGATCCGGAATACGTCAGAGCACAGGAAGCGCGTCAGCAACAGTTCATCCGCGAAAGGGAGCAGCGTAGGCGAGAGCAGCAACAGCGAGACGAACAGCTTCGCCGCCAGGAGGAAACACAGGAGCAGCAGGAAGAACGACTAATCCCGCAGCTAGAGCAAGAAGAGCGGCTACGTCTGCAGCAAGAGCAAGAAGAAAGATTACGTCAGCAGCGAGAGGAAGAAGAGCGAATTCGTCAGGAAAGAGAACAGTATGAACGAGAGCAGCAAGAGCGAGAGCTACTTGAACGTGAGCAACGAGAGCGAGAGCAACAGCAGCCCATATATGATCCTGTGCCGGAAGATGACCAGCAGCAGGAAAAGCACCAAGAAGGAGAGCCACAACCAGATGATAATTGGGAAGACCGTCGGCTACCATATCCCTCATACGAACAATATGGTCCTGAAGGGAATCTCCCCGGAATTTTTCCCAGTCCCAACTACGACGCGGAAGACCTCGAACTAGAGCAGCGGTTACGTGAGCAGCATTTACGTGAGCAGCAGGAACGTGAGCAGCAGTTACGTGAGCAGCAGGAACGTGAGCAGCAGTTACGTGAGCAGCAGTTACTTGAGCAGCAGTTACGTGAGCAGCAGGAACGTGAGCAGCAGGAACGTGAGCAGCAGGAACTTGGCTTGGAAGAATACCCTAGCTACGAGGAATATCTTAAAGCCCTAGAGGAGAAAAATGCGGAAAGTGATCGAGCCTATGCCGAGGAGCAAGAGCGGGAGCGTCAGCGTCAGCAGCAAGATGAATTGCTTCAAGAAAATCAACGGCATCCGGAAGAAAGTTTGCCGGAGGAACCGCCAACCCAACCCGTCTACGAAGCCTACGATCTTGACCAGAGCTATATCCAGGAGCAGGAGCGCGAGCAAAAGCGATTGGATCAGGTTGAACAGGAAAGGAAGCAACAGCTTGGTGAGGACCAAGGAGAAGAATACGAGAGGTCACCTGATGGGGAAGAGGCAGCAGTAGAGGGAGATCTCAAGGTGGAGGATTTCCCCACCTATGAGGCTTACGTGGAGGCCGCAACCAGGCTCCGCTTAGAGCAGGAGGAACTAGAAAAATTGGAGGACGAACGTTATAGGGCCGAACAGGAGGAGATGGACCGCATCCAGGCAGAGAGGGAACGCAATTCTCACAACTAAGGAACCAGATCAATGGTCCATATTGTAACTATGTAAAAACAGCGTTCATAATAAGCTGTACACACCACAAAAGCTTAAAAATTTTCCACGCTCTGATATCTACACAATTATATCGAAAGCTAATGTTTTTAAATAAATACATTTTTGAAATACAGCTTACACAATATCTTTTGGTTTTATATATTCTATATCTAATATTGGTCAAAAACGTATCTTGTTGCGATTTGGCCGTTTAACTAAGCTCTTGCGTCCGCCGAGCTTCGGATTCTGCAACTTTCTCACATTCGATTTGGCCAGCTGCTTTCGACGTTTATTTTGAGCCCGCTTCCGGCTGCGGCTTCGCAAATAGTAAACCTCGCGAATCAGACTTTGGCCATTCTCCTCGTCGCTCAACGTGGCGGAGAACTCGGTAAAGTAGTTACCCCCGATTGTCATCGTCTCGTCGATCCTCATGTATGGACCGTAGAGGGTGGTCATCGGCGGCCAGTAGCCGACTCGAGCGGATCCCAATGGATTACCACTGATTACAAAGTTTGTCCAAAGGTCCACCATCCGGCGGGCCATCAACTGATCCGGGCGACTGAGACGAGTCACGTGCTCGGGGTAGGGGAACAGGTAAAGAGCCTCGTCGGTTAGCGAAACGCCCGCCTTGAAGGGGCTCTGCATGTTGGTCTCCTCGTCCATTTCCTTGTAGCGATTAAACTCGCCCGCATAATCGAACGTGTAGAGGAACGTGTTGTCCGGATTGTGCTTGTTGTTCATGTTCAGAGCCAGCAGGACAGGGAGCTTGTGGTTCAGAGTGCCAGCAACCTAATAATTCAATTTGAAAAATTAGTTTATAAAATGTAGTTCTGGCCTTTCTGATTCAGGGATTTAATTAGAAATTTTGTTAGGTCTCTGTATAACTTTGAATTAAATTATTCATTTCATTTAAATTAAATTATTATTTTATTTTAATTTAAATTATTATTTAAGTTATTTAGTTTTAGTACAATTACAAGGCTGAGAATAGTTTGTTTTAGAAAAGTAACTCACATCGATTAGCCTGGGGATCAGAGTGTCGAAGGTGCCGTTTTCCATCAGAGGACGGTTGAAGAAATCGTGGGTCACAAAGCTGGTGAGGAGCATCGTCTTGTCGGTGCCCACCGTTTGCCGGATCACGTGGTCGATGTAGTCGTACGTGCTGTAGTCGTCGTCCGGTATCTTCCTCTCGAAGTCGTTGTCCACAATCTCGTTGAGCACTCGAGATCCCGCATTTTTGGGACACCCGCCCATTGCCGGATAAGAAAAGTTGGACTCCAGCATCAGGTCATACGGATGCTTGGGCAAAACACCACTAGGTCCGCCGATGGTGAACTGTATGCCGCCGGTGTGCCCAATGCCGAGGTCAGATTTCTCCAGCTAATACGGGATTTAACGAAAAAGATTAAAGATACTTTTATCGACATTATTTATATCAATATTTCTGACTTCTTTTGAGACTTTAATATCATTCTTTCATAACCTATCTCTACTATCAACACATCATTGCAGGGTATAGACTTCACATCAACTAACTAGCCAAGTGTTGGCTATCAAGGGTCCGCTTACCGCATGCTCCATGAAGGCAGTGAGCAACTCCAACGCCGAGAGCTCCATTAGGCAGGTGTTCAAGTCCCGCACGGTGACCATTTTACACTCGGCCTTCTTAGCGATTTCCTGAGCCTGCTTTCGCGGATCCTCCTCGAGAAATATGGGCATAATGGCCGATCCCGACTGATATATAACCTGGTGAAACAGGCCGCGCTGCACAATAGGCGAGAGCGTGAGCAGGTGCGCAATAGCAGCGCCGCCCACTTGTCCAGCTACTGTGATCCTGGAAGGGTCACCGCCGAAGTACTTGATGAAGTGCTTTATGAACTGCAAGGCCAGGAAAATATCCATGAAGCCAGCGTTACCAGGAATCTCGTCTGTCTTCGTAGAAAGGAAGCCGAAGGGTCCAAGGCGGTACTGGGGTGTGACCAGCACCACATCCTTCTCGAGCAGATAGTCCGGCGGAGCCTCCGAGTTGCTGCCCTCGTACAAATACTCGCCGTGGATGTAAACGAGAACGGGGAGTCGTGAGGTCACATTCGGGGTGGTGATGGTCATGGTCAGACAGTCCTCGACGTCCAAGACGTCGTCCAGCTTCCGGAGCGAGTCCATCGACACCACCGATGGGCAGCCAATCTTCTCCGCAGTGGCATCCATCACATCCTCCCAAGGCTCAATCGGTCGAGGCGCCTATAAAAAGCATAATCATGTGAGAACTGACGACACAGACACCAAATGGTCTAGAAACAGCTCTAAGTAAACAATATATTTAAATAATAACATTTCTTATTGGAAGAGGCTGCCATTTATCCATCCGCTTTGCTTGATATTCTTAATGGGTAAGTAAAAGTAACTCGGGTATTCATTTTATATATTTACAATTGATTAATCAGATTTGCAGCTATAAATGCATAGCTTTCGTTTATCTCGGAAGTATTCTAATATTTGTCTTTTCGATTAGGTCAGCAAACGAAAAGTTCCGATAGTAACTATCAGTGATTGTACAAAGGCAGTACCAAGTCCTCGATAGTTTAGTGGTTAGTATCCCCGCCTGTCACGCGGGAGACCGGGGTTCAATTCCCCGTCGGGGAGACGCGAGCGATTCGTATTTTTTTCTCTCTCAGAATATGTTTGCTTATTTATTGTATCTAAAAAAATTTACATAATTTTGAAAGTTTTAAAAGGCTTTAAGACAGACGCTCGATAAAATCAAACATTTCTATTTGGAATTTTTGGCAATGTTCCTCTGCGTCAACCTCATTTTGCATACCGTCGATTTTAATTTTTTGCATATGTTTATATGGCTCTATCACTTTTGTTCTGCTGACACACTTTCGAGCTTCTCTAGAATCACTAACAACGTGTTCGTACTATATTATATTAACACTGAAATTTAGGTACTGCAATTAATATCCACTTGTATACCTTAAACCGATGCAGTCCTGTCGGAGGCTCCGCATATCTGACATCCACGAACTGCAGCACTTCGCGTTTCGTCCAGGCAGTTTCGAGAATCTTTCCCTGGATGCTGCCCAAGCTGGGCAGCTCGATAATAGTGTCTTTCTCCTCATCGTACTGCCTGTTGCGAACCCTAGACTCCACCACGGATGGGAGTACGAGGAGCAGGGAAACTATTTGCCACCATGAGAGCTGCATTGCAGAGGATTTCGCGAACCGAACCAACACTCGCTCTGAGGAACCGATCGCAACTGATCTGTGGCCATCGGGGACCAATAGATTTTAGTCCGCTGTAACCCGAAGTTTCACCCCAGTTCTGACCGAGATAGCCAAACGGAAACTGGCTAAAACGAAACGCGAAATAAACTGCAAATAATGCGGCGCCCGCGAGGCTCTAGCCACTGATTTATGCTAATACTTACACAGAAAATATGTGTGGCATATGTCATCAACTTTTACTTAAATAATCTAAGACACCTATTTTAATATTTCAATGCTTGATTTTTAAAAAGATATTGTCTTTGTTAAATGTATCATTGTGTCATGTATCATTTCTATGCAGAAACTGCGAGGCCCGAGCTTAGAACTACCTTTTTTTTAGCTTGGTGCCAAGTTGGAACATTAATTTTAAACTTTTTCTCCAAGTGCAAGAACAGATTTCGCTCCGGTTTAAGTAAAAGGGAAACCTTTAAGAGCAGCCTGGGGCTCGATCTTCTGATTGTAAGATAGTCAGTCATTAGTCGCTCATATTGATGCGAATATTTGCCGGCAAGCATGGGACATCGTCCATTAACTTGGTTTGTCTTTCTCACGACGATGAAAGTGCGGGTAGCGCCAGGCGAAATTCATTTCTCGAGGGAAGCGGGAACTGATTTAAATTTTAGATTTTTGATTTTAGATTTTACCTAATTGTTTCCAGAAATTCTCTGCGCTACTGGTATTCATAGCACGAGGTATAACATTAATCATCATCATCGCGAGCTACGAGAGAAAGCAATCGTGATGCCTCGGTGCCAAAAGAGATCGACGACTCCTCACTAATCAAACGAGATAATTCCAAAATTGACTGCATTTAACTATCGACGAAATTGGAAAACCCCAATGTATAAGGAAAATAGAAAGCGAAGTGGTCAAATATTTATTTTTATTATTGGGTTTCTGAGAGCTCAATGTCAAGGGAATTGGAACGGTTGGAGGTGTTGACTCATATCGTAGCCAATTATTCAAATCCGGATTTTTTAATAGAAAGGCTAGTTAAGGCTAGCTATAATAAACTCTCGTTAGCTAATCAAAACAAGCCGATGATTTTTTCCATCATGACCTGCCAATTCTGATACGAAACTAGCCAAATAAATAGACCATACTTGTAGAACAAATTAAAACTTGATTATGTACCTTAATGAATTCTGACTTGAATTTAGCTCCAAAACAGACCTCTGTTCACCTGGTTTTTGAACAGGCAAAAGATGATTTATGAGGCCAATGAAGAAAGCAAGTTCTCAACTAACTATTGAGCCCTTTTTTAACTCAAAGATTCGCCGCGCTTAAACGCTCTTGTACAGTTATTCTTTGTTGGCAATCAAGTAATTTCACTTTTTCTAATGCCCAAATAAAATGTTTTCCTCTTGTATGTTTATTAGGGTAGTTTAAGCTATAAATAAATAAGGGGATAAATTAGGTGGATAGGCCGGGCAACTCTACTGTTTCTGGACACGCGTCGACTTCCTGGCGATGAAGACCCAGTTCTGGCCACCAGCCTCACTGGCAGCCCTCTGCCCCTTGACATCCTCCTGATCCTGTTCATCCTCCGCGTTGGCATCGCTGGCCGCCAAAAGAGCTGCCTCCAAATCATAAAAGTCCTCGTTGACCAGGCTATAGCCATACTTCGCCTCATCCACGGCGATGCGGTACTCGTCCAGGTAATTGTCCCCGAAACTGACGGTGCGATCGATCTTCATATAGGGTCCGGTCTCGTCGCTCATCGCTGGCCAGGTGGGCAGTCCAGGTGCTTGGGGAGTCCCCGTCGTGGCGAAGGACGTCCAAAGGGCCACCATGCGCCGAGCCACCTTGAGGTCGCGGTTCGAGTTCAGGGCCAGGAATCGCGGCCACGGGAACAGGTACAGGTTGTCGTCCGTCAAGGAGACACCCATGTCGAAGGGCACGAAGTTGGCCTCGTCCTCACCCGTCGCATAGCGATTCTGATCGCCCTCGTAGTCAAAGCTGTACAGGTACGTACTATTGGGAAGCTTCTTCGCGTTGGCCTGCAGGACCAGCAAGACTGGATTCTTCAGGGAAATGGTGCTGCAAAGCTGGGTAAAGATGGTTTCCGTTCATAAATAGTAATATAATAGTTCGCTGTAACAAATGTAACAAATATGGCCATACTTACATCGATCAGACCTGGGGTCAGCCGCCTGAAGGTGCCATTCTTAACATCAGCCTGTGTGAATATCTCCTCGTCGGAGAACTCCTTCCACGATCCACTGGGATCGGCTCCATTAGCCTGTTCAATAATGGTGTCGATGTACTGCCTGCCGTTCATTTTGTCGTCCAAAATGGTCTCATTAAAGATATCCGCAAAAATGTCTATTGTTTAGAGAATACCAAAAGGTTAAAGCACAATATTGGAGAAATATCTTTTAGTTACCTCTCAGCATGAAGGTGCCGCCGTGCTTGACGCTGCCGCCCATCGTGGGATAGGCCTGGAACTTCTCGGCGGCCAGCAGGCGACCAGGGTGCTCCGGCAGAATGCCAGATGGTCCTCCGATCACCAGCTGCACACCGCCATAGGCGCCGCCGGACAAGGAGGGCTGGTTTTCGCCGTGAACGCTGAAGGCGGCCAGTAGCATGGTGGCGTTCAGGCGGCTCAGACACTTGTTCAGCTGATCCACCTTAGTGGACTGTTTGCAGCCCGCAATCCGAGCGATGGCCTTGGTGGCGACCAGGGGCGCATCCGTGATGAAGGCGGGCGACAGCGCCGTGCCGGACTGGTAGATGACGCGGTGAAAGAGGCCGGCCGGAACCGCAGGACTCAGGGTGAGCACATTGACCAATGCTGCTCCGCCGACTTGGCCGAAGAGCGTAACTCGCTGCGGATCGCCGCCGAAGGATGCGATGTGCTGTTGCACCCACTTGAGCGCCAGTATGATGTCGCTGACCGCCGCATTGCCGGGCATCTCGTCCGTCAGCGTGGACAGAAAGCCGAAGGGTCCCAGACGATAGCGCACGGACACCAAGACCACATCCTGCTCCAACAAGTACCCGGGAGCTGCCTCCACAGAGTCGCCGTCGTAGAAGAAATCGCCGTGGATGTACACCATCACCGGCAGCGACTTGCCCTCCATCTGTAATACAAACAGGATTCAATTGGTCACGACGCTGCCAAAAATGTAATTTTCTAAATGAATACTTGCAAAATGAGTCTTTGATATTTAGCCTCCATAATTGAGTATTTTCGTTAAATATCAATATTAAGTATGGGAAGTTTACTCACCGCCTTGGTGTTCACTGTAAGACGCAGACAGTCCTCCACATCGAAGCCGTTCTCCTCCAGCTTGGCGAATACGATCAGATCCTGAATGGATGGACAGCCGGCGTGGGGTCGATGGGCGGGAAGAACGCCCTTCCAGGACGGTGCCGGCTCAGCTGGCTGTAGACGAGAGAAATAGTTTTATTTATACCTTGTACATATTTCTAAATTTCTGGTTACGCCATTTGGTTCTGATTGGAATTAGAACATTTACCTTACAAGCATTTCGTTTCCGGTATTAGGCAAGCGCCGTTCACCGTCCTCGATAGTATAGTGGTTAGTATCCCCGCCTGTCACGCGGGAGACCGGGGTTCAATTCCCCGTCGGGGAGAGTGTTAAAACATTTATTTTTCAAATTCATGTTTTTATTTTATTTTTTAAACAGTAATATATGCATAAACATTAATATTTCTAGGTGAGGTTTATTGTTTCTTTGGTAATAAAAAAGAAAAATAATTCAACGGAAAACATTTCAAAGTGAAAAAATAATAATAAATATCTGGTTTAATCTAACACGAATAGAATATATTTAATAGAACCAAAATAGTACTTATTTAATTACAAAAATAAAAAAAAATGCTTTCACATTCTCCCCGACGGGGAATTGAACCCCGGTCTCCCGCGTGACAGGCGGGGATACTAACCACTATACTATCGAGGACGGTGAACGAGGGAACTCAAATATCAAACAAGATATAAGTGGGTAAATTCGCCAGTAGTAAGTGAGTATCAAAAAATAGTAAGCTATGGTGTGTCATTGTTAATATAGCGATTATAAAACTATTAACTCACCATAAATCGCTCTGCTTTGCCGTAGGGAATGTCCAGGAACTGCATTATCTTCTTTTCTGACCAAGCGGTGGTGAGAGTCCGCCCACGGAGCTTTCCCAAATCAGGAACCGTTGTGGTGAACACCTTTGGCTCTTGGCTATTTTGCACCTGTTGCTTGTTGGGTTTCTGTTTCTGGACTTTTTGGGGCTTTGGTCGCTTGTTTTTCTGGATACCCAAGTTTTGATTTGCCGGTCTGGGCTTCTGCTGCCTCTGCCGGTTTGGGTTCTTCTGCGCCAGGCCTTGTGCAACAAAAACGGCCAGAAGGACGATTGCCAGGAGCAGTACAACTCCACTAAGTCGCGCCATTATATTAATTCGATCCGCTGTTCTGGCTAGATGGAAGCGAACTGTTGGCCATCTGAGATCTCTCTCCACCAAGAAGACTTTCTCGGCATATTCGAGTGACTCTTGACCGGGCACGGATTCTATTTCGAATTAAATGGGGTCAAGTCAGCACTCTCCGTTCCAATCTTCCTCTTAACTTCATGGCCACTTTTCGCGATTCCAATCGTTGAATATTCATTGACGCCTAATCTAAATGCTTTGGCGATGTATAGCCGAAAGGCAAGCCCGCGATTTAAATGGGATTATGCTGGTTGGCATGAAAGTAAAATACAGCCAGACGCAACCTGTTCTACGATTGACCCCCAAAGCATTTTCTCCCACCGAACAAGATCCAGTGAATCTGTAAACGATGAGAAATTGCATTATGCTAATATCTTTTCACTACAGAAATATGTTTCGGGCCAAACAGCTGTATCCTAAAAGGGTTGATCTAACGAATTGCTTATTTTCATGTGCAAAAATGTTGAAACACCAACTTTCTGTTAACATCTGTTTATTTTTGCTGACTAATTGCGTACAGCTCGGCTATATCTAATACAACTTTTTCGATTGTATGAGTAAATTTCTTCTCATACAGCTTCAACAGACTTAAGTAGACTTAATGGATTGATTACAACTGGTACAGAGATCCATAGATACAAAATATCTCAAGTGACATAATGTTCTGCAGCTATTTTTAGTCCATATATGACAGTCTACAAAAGATTTGTACATAAGCATGCATGTTGCGTTCGAATTCGAGTTGGCAGACTCCTTGTTTTATGCGCATTACAATTGTTATCTTTTATTAATAAGTTACTGTGATAAACGTAAAATTAGGTTAAAATGCATTAGGCTAGATTTCGTTCAATAAACGCGCAAACAATTGCATTGAAATGCAGAAGTACTTTAAAGCGAAGTATGCATGTTGTGTAGAGAACATCTTGAAGTACATCCAGAAGAATTCGTGAGTGGATGCGAGAACACCTGGTCGAGCAGCAGAAGACCAGATGACTCACAGTTGCCTAAATGTAGTACAGGCGCACAACCGATTTGGTGATGAGTGTCTCGTTGTCGTAGAAACTGGTTTGGATAGTCACATTGCCATTCAAGACCTTGGCGGGCATCATCTGGGATTCGGGTGCCGCCTCAATTGTCGACTGCCAGGTGTTGGTGGTGTTGGCACCCACGAATCCCATCTCGAAGAACCACTCCTCCATGATGCGGCCCTTGAAGAGCACCTTCTGGTCCAGGCGAAAGTTCTCCATCGACTCGATGGTGCTGAAGTTGATCTCCCGGGATACAGCCCGCATTTCCAGTATCTTTACCGGCACCCGCGCCTCGTGCTCCTGGTCCGGGGCCGAGAAGTCCTTGTTCTCCTGCCAGATTATCTTTCCACTGTCGGCATCTCGCAGAATCATGTAGTTGATCTGGAATCCCTTCTGGATCCTGTCCCCGGCACTCTGGTCGTCGGAGCCCATCGCTGCCCGTGGAGGTTGCAAGTCGGTCAATCGGTTGCACTGCCAGGTGGGAGCGCCTACGCGTTTACGTATACTTTCGGGCAGAAAATCAATTATGTTTATTTTTAATTCTAATGTCCAGCCAGCTGATTGGCCGAGAACTAGTTCAATGAATGCGATAGCCGATATGGAATCAGTTCAATTTGTTCTGACTGCGATAGCTATGCCACCCTGGGGGAACTAGTTATTGGTTGAATTTGTATTTACTTTTAAGGCATCCAGAGCATCGGTAAAAATTTTACTGGCCATTTTATTACCCAATTTTAAATAATGATTCATTTATAGATTTAATGGATAATCCACCCCTATAGTTGTAATTGCCTCCTTGAGCCAACTGTTAAGTCGGAATGTTAATGGTATGTTAATGGCAACTAAGCTGGATCTGGAACTGGTTCCGCGACAAACAGCTGGCTTGCGCTACCATCGCTAATTCGCATAAAATAAGAAAACATTCCTAGGAAACACAAACTAGTAATAATTAGAAATGATTATTTATGGCGTCTACATAGTTAGTAAATCGGGTGGCCTTATATTCAACCTGGACAACAATGTGCCGCGCATAGAGCACGAGAAGACATTCACATACCCACTGGACTTGGTGCTGGACTACGACTCCAAGAAGGTATCGGTGTCGTTCAACAGAAAGGATGGCATAAATGGTGGGTGTGTCTGGGAATTCTAGAAATATAATCAACTCACCGTGTGCTTACAAACAGTGGGCCATGTCCTGGTGGCGGTCAACGGTATGCCTGTGAATGGAGTCACCCTGGATGATGGACGCGATGTGAGGACAACGCTGGAGGCAGCGGAGAACTATCCCATTAACCTGAAGTTCAGCCGGCCAAAGATGACCACCAACGAGAAAATCTTCCTGGCCAGCATGTTCTACCCGCTGTTCGCTATCGCCAGCCAACTGAGTCCCGAGCCCAAGAGCTCCGGCATCGAGCTTCTGGAGGCGGACACCTTCACGCTGCACTGCTTCCAAACACTGACCGGGATCAAGTTCATTATAATCTCGGAAACGGGTCTCAATGGGGTCGATCTGCTGCTGCGAAAGGTTTACGAGCTGTACTCGGACTACGTTCTGAAGAACCCCTTCTACTCCCTGGAGATGCCCATCCGATGCGAGCTCTTCGACAACAAGCTCCAAGAGCTCCTCGCCCAGGTCGAGAAAACGGGCATTAGCAATATCGATAAATAAACGTTAGTTAGACTTTGTAAATTGTTAATGAATTTGTCTTCTGCTAGGATCACGGTCATGTGGGAAGTATAAAGTATATTTTTCTGCAGTAAAGTTGTGCTAAGTACAAAGTCATATTTAAATTTGTATATTCTAATTATCAGAGCTATTTATGTTTAAACCAGGAGAATTGTGTCGCCTAATCAGTTTTAATATCGAAAATTGTTGCTGAAAGATGGAAAATATACTTATTTTATAGAAACACCAAAAATGCAAGAGTTCAACGATTTACATTCATATTCTCCAGTGTTTATTTTGATTTTTTGTTTATTCATTCAGCCAGCTTAGAAATAGTTTGTATATTATACATATTCATATAAAAATAGTTCTTTGTTTAAAATTAAATATATATTACACTTTCAGCGCATAATCTAGACAACACCCTAACCTAAAACAATATATTGCATGGCCTATATGAATGTTTTGTGATCCACGCACAAGTAGAAGATAACCAAATAACCAACAAACTCAGTACATGCTAAATGGTGTATATATATAGTATAATTGTGTATAATAACTTCTTGAGCAAAATATGACTCCAAAAATAAATTGCAACTGCGTTAAACATTTAAAAATTAAGCAACAATTTCCAAAATACCTACTTAGGGACTAATAAAAAGTATCAAAATGGTTCAGGGCATAACAATTAAGTAATTCTTCATTTCAATTTCATCTCTATATAGCACTTGGTGGGGAGTACAGCAAGAGAGGGCCTGTATGTGTGTGGGTTGTGTGCTTGAAGGGTGTCCTGTTGCCAACTGCATATTGCACCGTTCGTTATTCTTCTAGTAACCAGTCTCCGGCTCCTGTTTAAGTGTCATGCGACACGGTTCTGAAATAGTACACAAAATGTGTTACGTTACTTGTACTAAATACAGGAAAAAAAAGGTATAGCTTTTAACCCCATATGCTACTCACCAATTCCATAACCAGCGGGTGCGGTTAGCAGCTCGGGTACCCGGATCTTCAGTGGAGTCCGTCGCAGCAGCTCCTCGGCGCTGCTGCCCTCGCTTCGATTGTACTCGTTGAGCGTAATGTCGGCGGGATTGCGCAGACCCAATCCGCCACCCCCGCTGGACACTTCCGCCGGCGAGGCGACCGCTCTTTGGTAGGGATGCATCCTCTGGGGACTGTGCTGCGTTGGCAGCGGTCCGGACCGAGTGCCATTGTAGTGCTTGACGGGCATGTCCAAGTAGGAGCTCTCCTGATGTTGCTGGTGCGTCGCATGTTGCTGATGTTGATGTTGTGACTTGGGGCTGTTGAGCGGAGGAGAGATCGCGGCTGGAGCAACGGATGCGGGTGCAGAGGAGGAGGACGAGACGGCTGCTGCGGCTGCCGCTGCAGTGCTAGCCGCGTAGGCCCGGAAAGAATCATCCGCACTGTTCGCCTCGATAAGAGCCTGGATGTGCTGCACCTCTAGGTCCAAGCTATGCGAGCCAGGACCACCAGACGTGGCCAGCGAGTCCAGAGAGGAGTTAACCTGACTATTGCCGTCCATGTTGCCTGTGTGGGTAGGACTCTGGTAGTCATTCGACTGATTGGGCGGCGATAGCGGCAGAGGATTGTCGGCCAACTCTCCTGTTAACATACGCAAACATATTGAGTCAGTCAATTGTTCCAATCATATATCTGAAATATTTAAGAACTCACCTCCCAGCAGCATCTCCTGCAGCAAGGAATCAATGTGGGCCACTCCAAAGATCTTGGCAAACTGGATCTGCTCGATCATCTGCCAGGTAATAGACTGCAGAACCGGCAGGATGAGCAGGATCTCGCCAAAGCGACCGCGCGACTCGTATTGCCGATCCGATATGTAGTCCTCGAGATTATTGAGTATCTGATGCCGAAGCGATTTGATGCGATGCGGTTCATTTAGACCCTTGGCGTCTAAACAGATTTAAAGAACATATTATTATAGGGTTACTTTTGTCAATAGGTTGAATAACTCACTGGGATCGAAGAAGACTAGGGCCTTGATGCAGGCGAATTCAGTATCATCGATGCCCACATCCTTCATGACCGTCACCAGTTCATCGATGATGCGGGCGCCGATCCGCGAGATGTCCAAATTGGGCGACACAAGAGGATCTGCGAGGAAAATTATTTTAAAGGTTATACCACTTTCAAATATAGGATTCAAAAGTATGAAAAACATTACCTGGACAGTGTCTAGTGATCACACAGTTGTTGCTCAGCAGCAGAACATCCTTCAAGTGCATCGATCGACGCGACAGGCCGAGGAGCAGATGCTCGCCAGCATGGGCGCGTAGCAGGGCCACCTGGTCATCCAGCTGCAGCTCGTTGAAGGCCGGAATCTGCTTGGCCCACTCGACCAGGGTCAGCAGTTGCTGCTTCATCGACTCGCAGACATCGTTGATGCTGGCGAATTGCTTGTTGGAGAGGTCCTCGTTTATGTTTGGCTCCATGGCAGCGCCTGCCTTCGACTGGCGCGACTCATTCTCCGCCTTGACCAAGGAGATCACAGACAGCCCGTTGCCCGGATCCGGGTCGTCATTGGAGGTCCGTCGGCAGCTAATTCGATCCCGCTCATTCTGCACCGCCTCCTTCTTCATGCCCGCCTTGAAGCACTTCCTCAGCCGGCAGTAGCGGCACTGGTTCCGCTTATCCTTGTCCACAACGCAGTTGCGCGAAAATCTGCCAAGTAAAAACCAAATCTCAATCTCCCTGCCATTTTCACCACATGTGTATGTATGTGTGCGTACCTGCAAGTGTACTGATGGTTTTTCCTGACACTCCTCCTGAAGAATCCTTTGCAGCCGTCGCAGCTGGAGGCCCCGTAGTGTTTCCCCGTCGCCCGATCTCCACAAATGGCGCAGACCGTCGGTGATTGCTGCTGTTGCTGCTGCAATTGCTGCTGGCTGCTGCTGGCCCCACTTCCGTTTCCGCTCAGGTTGTTGTTGGGCGAGAACATGCTGTTGTTGTTGTTGCTGCCACTGCTGGCACTTCCGCCTCCTGCGCTGCCCGCATTCCCGTTTCCGTTTCCGTTGCAGAGCGCGAAATTCTCGCTGCTCTGATTGCTACTGTTGCTCAACCCCAGCCCGCCGCCATTGGGGCTGAGGGCGTGGCCGATCGGACTGTGGGGCTGCGAGGCAGCCGGATAGCCAGAGGCCAGGGCATCCGCGTGCATTATGTGGCTCTCCGATTCTGCAACAAAAAACGGGTTACATTCTAATCAGTACTATGATCAATTAAAGTTAAGCTGTAAATCAGAAGCAGTATAAAAAACATTCCATAACTAAAACGTAGTTTCTTGAGATACGCTTGTTCAAGTTCTTAAAAATGGAATATATTCTATCTAAGTTATCTTTATATGTAAATATCTTCGTTGTAAAAGTGTCCCATCATGCTGAGCTCCACAGTTTTGCAGCCGCATGGGCTGGTCGCACGCACAGTTTTAGAATTTCTTGTGCCTACGCAAATTCCTCGCTAAGGTTTGGCAGCAACTGGATATACCATTTTTTATCCACTGACAATTTTTGCAATCAAAGAGCAATTAAGCATACACAGCCAGAAATTTCTGGATAGTACGATAAGAACCCTTTTTTTAATATAAAAGGAATTTATTTGATTTAACATATGTATATAAAACGAGAGAAGTCGATACTAAGTAATATATTCCTTTTACTTTTATATACTTTAGACCCAAAAGATCATATAAATATTAATTAGTTAAAGGTAATTTTGGTCCGTTGCTCTTTTACTACGACCGCAGCTGTACTACGTACGTTACACGGGGGTCATTAATTTGGGGTTTTGTAAAAACTAGCGAAAAATCGCGCAATAGCAACAAACAGAAATTGCACAAATAACAACAACAATAATAACAACAATAAAATCAACAACTGACCGTCACTGGATGCAGTTCGGC